TTATTTAGGTGTAAAGTTCTGTGCCAAGAAAAAGTGATCGACTCGGTGATATGATCGACTCGCTGATAAACCACGTTATATGTTTTTATATAAGATATATATTATCTTAGTACCTAGACCCTCTTTATAAAGGCTTTTAGTAGTAGGCTTTTACTCACCCTATATAACCCCCATTCTATATAACCTACCTACTCTCTCCCCGGCCACTTATACCGACCCCGCCCCCGGCCCGCTACTACTCCGACGCCTACCTACCTCTAGCCTTTATTTAAGGGTCTAAGAGAAAATAGTAATTGTTTAGGCTATAGCCTCTAAATTAACTTTTTGATAAAGATTTTAAGCCTTTAATAGTCTATTACTTTTATAGATATAATATTCGGGTACGCTTTAGCTAGTACTTTCGATATTAAATTTTTAATCTATATTATTTTACGAGTACCCTTTAGGTCTAAGATAACGAACAAGGTTATCAAAGCTAAAAATAGCTATTTTTACTTTCTCTAAATAGATTTTAGCCTATAGCTCTTTATAAACTATTCTATAGCTATACTACTTGTTAAAACCTAGTTAGCTAGGATTTATAGAGCTAAATAAGCTCTATAAAGTCCATAGGTCTTATTATAATAGGACGTGGTTTAGTAGAATAGTTAACGAAGAGCTATAGGCTCTTCTGAACTAAGCGATAAACGCGATTTTACCCCCTCGAAAATAGGTATATTAGAGTTAATTCTTATTCTACTAACTTCTATATAGGCTTAAAAGAAAGCCCTTAATTAGTTCTATAATATATTAATCCGCGAGTCGAATACGACTGTAGCGAATTAAGTTATTTTACAGTGTTTAGTCCTAGGTAGGTATATATATAGTAAGAGGCGTAGTACTAAGGCTCTTACCTACGTACTATACCTATATAAAAACAAGTATATTAGAGCTAATTTTTATTATACCGACTTCTATATAGGCTTAAAAGAAAGCGCTTAATTAACTCTATATAATACGTATCTACGAGCTAAATATAACCAGCGTATATTATACTATTACGAAGTATTTATTATATAATATAGTTAAGTTTTAGTATTCTTATAGGGGTATATACGTATTTAAGCCTTGCTTACCTACGTACTTTATAAGCGTATAACTTAATATAATATAGTTATATTTAGCTCGTAGATATATATTATATAGAGTTAATTAAGGGCTTTCTTTTAAGCCTATATAAAAGTTAGTATAATAAAAATTAGCCCTAATATACCTGTTTTTACGTAGGTAGCTATATATAGGTACGTATATAGGGGTATATACGTATTTAAGCCTTACCGAGCCGTATATCCTACTAACTTTATAAGCCTATATTAAAGCTAGCTTACAAGCTATTAATATACGGTACGCTTTCTCGGATACTTTAATTAAAGAGCTTTAATTTAATTTATACTTAAAATTATAATAATTAGTATTATAGTAGATATAAACTAACGTATATAAATAAGGGGTCTATATAGTCGCTTTTTAACCCCAGAATTAGAGCCTATTACTTAAATGATCCCTATTTTCCCTTAGACGCTAGATAGCCGTTTCGGGAGGTAGGTTATAATTAGCTAGCGGTAGTCGAGGTAGGGCAAGGTCGGGTCGGGGGCAGGGGGTCGGGGGAAGAACCGGCTATATAACTAGCGACTAAGGCTAAGATAAGATATATACTAAATCTTAATTTATACGCTTATTTAGATAGCTATATAAGTTTTTACTAAAATAATTATAAATCTATCGTAAATCTAAATATAAAAGTTTTTAGATTTATACTACCAAAATAAAGATATAAAAGAATTAAAGCCTTAACCTCATACTTCTTTTTCTTTTATATAAATCTCTATGTAAATCTTTCTATTCTACGTATAAAAATTAACGAATATATAACGAAATAAAAAAGACTTTTATACTAGCTAAACAGTAGTATATTTATTTCATTATAATAGTCTAATTTACATGTAAATTAGTAAACTTTTATATAAGTCCTTAGGGTCCTCTAGCCTATATAAATCTTCGACTTTTGTATCTAATTTATATGGAGAGATTTACGTAGCTAAACATACCCTAAAGTTAATTCTTTAAATTAAGTACTCATTTACATATATTTTTAATAGTCTTTTTTAGTAAAACTAGTCTACCCCTATACCCTTTATTTGCTACTTTATATACCCGATATTTATTAGTAAGATCTAATATTAGAACCTAAATCTTTAATTATTATAATTTAGAGAAAAATCAATTATAATTATATTATCTAAAATTAGAAAGCCTAACCCTAGTTAGCTATTTACGGGACTAGCGAAGTTCAAAGGAGTGAGAGGGTCCTGTGGTTTGGTCTATGGATACTTCTAGGGTATTGGGTGCTGGGCCTTGGGTGGCTGGCTAGAAACTATCAACTTTTGTATAGTAAAAACGGGACTTTGAGGTTCAGAAGAATCAAGGATAAGGAGGATTTGGAGATCTAGAGGGTCTTTATAGCAAATTTCAGGATCACGGTTGTGCAAGCACAAATCTCTCCCCCATCTCCAGGCTGCTCACAATCCATCCAAGTCGCCAATCAGGTTGTGATAAGGTCTCTATGCGCAAAATTGCTTGCTTTAAGTATTATTATATCCATTTGTAAATAGACAAAAGCTCAGATCCTTCAATGCCACCTAGTTTGCGGCTATTACTCAAACAATGCAAAGGAAAGCCTAATGGGATACACTGTGATTGCGCTTTTAGATCTGAGAGATTGGATTTGTTTACAAGTAAAAGACGTGGTCACTACTCTGTACACACCTCCCTTGTAATAAGATTGTCTTAAAACCCTTGTACAGTACAACTCAAATAGTCATATAGTAAGTTGAGAATCATTGTTAACTTTTATTTATTCTTAGCCTAGGTATCCTCAGGCAATTATTTTACTTGTGCTAGAAGTTTAGTATAATAACTTCTTACATGGTGTATATAGAGTAATAACCAGGTATCTTACTAGAAGGCTAATGAAACACCGAGTGAATATTTCTGGAGAGCTTCCCATATGGGAGTCCTAGAGTTCCTCTACTCAGAAGTGCACCCACCATGTATCTCTATGGTCTCTATAAATTTTCAATTTGGTTTATAACCTCAAATGACACCTTCTGCCATCGTTAACCAAGCCTTGCAGAGGCTAGTTAGCGTAGCAATACTGCTGATAAACGCGACAAATACAAAGAATTTTGGAAAAAGCGCCAAAAGAAAAGACAAAAAAAAAAAAGGTGTACGGGTTAACAGTAAATAAGCACCCATGCCTCACATGACAACAAAAGCTGTAGCAATGTACCACTGTATGGCCTATCAGAGCGTAATAAAATCAACCAGAAATCGCAGAATTTTCCTATTTTCTCAAATAAGGAGTGCGACCTTCAGGTTATAAGGTTTTTACTATACTCCGTTAAGTAAACAAAATTATGTCGTTATTGAAGATGCTATATTTAGAGCTCACTTGGATCTCACTTGGATCTCACTTGGACATCACTTGGACCTACTAATATCTATCAGCTTCACCTTTGAATTTTGTTAGCCATCGCATTGAACTAGCATATCCTGCCCTTGTTAGAACCCACTACTCTAATTCCTCCCGCTACCAACTCCAACCTACCTACCAAGATCTGTACCTCACGCGCCCTCCGCCAACATAATGCTTTAAGAGCTTGAATCTGCTCACTGTCGCTCCACTTCACATTAAGTCCACTATTCACCATAGCCTCCAACTCTCTCGAAGTACGTCAATTTTGAGAACCCTCATATCACCTGACACCCAGCCTTCGCAATGGCTTCGTCGAGAGCAGTCGCGGTTGTGGGGAAGAAAGGCTTTCCAGCAAAATTAGGAAGCAGACTCGATAAGGTCAGATCAGGGCGGGTCACCAAACGTGGTTTGATCCCAACGCAGAGAAATGGCAAGAACAAGAGTGGTGGTTTCGTCCTGGGTTTCTTCTTCTCCAAGGCAAAATGGCCACGCTTATGAGTCTGTATTCAGTGATATAAGTGCAGGAAACTGAGAATTTCCTTTAGCATCTCCCGATTGTTGCTTAAGATGACGGTTCAGTAACCTGCAATTGACACCAAAACCTCAACGCGTTTCATTGATCTGGGGGCGATTTGATGGCTTAGGGTGGCTCGGTGGTTACTTGGTGTTTTTCTGCGCTATACTCTTACTGAATTGAGCGCACAAGAAATTCTGCAGAGTGAGTGCTTTCCAGCTCTTCAAACCTTCCTGGGGAAATACTCAAATTTCTGGATAGGGGGACAGCACGCAGTCGTCAAATACTTGAAATCTAGGCGTTTCCAAATTTGTCTCACATACTGTGGAAGGAAGTAATAGGCTGCTTCGATGCAATACTATCGCTCGAAGGTCGTTGTTTTACGCGAGGACTTGATATTCACTGTGGTTGTTCATAAATGCTTACCGTCCTCACCTTCAAGCACGGTCATACATGAAAGTGAATCTCCTCATTGTATCCAGCCTCTTCATTTTTTCCAAAGTCTGATATACAAAAACTCATCTGTATCTACCTGAGCATCCCCTCTTCTCGACCCCGAAAACCCTTCTCGCGCTCAATTGCGCATCTTATCCCAACCCTTCATTGATAACTTCTCTTAACCAATTCCCAACATGGCACCATCACGAACACAGACAGATCTCAAGAAGCTTGCCTCTGCCAGAAAAACATCAGGTGGCATCCAAAAGAGTCGTGGCTTCGTCATTCCAAATGGTCGAGGAACACTTAGCGAGAAGACACAAAGACGAAGAATCAACCAGTCCAGTATGTTTCTGACAGATTCGTAAAGGTGCCAAAATATTAATTGGTACAGTTCTTGCTCGTCGCCTCCAAAGCTCTCTTTCTCTCCCAGATAACGAAGGCGTTGCCCCCGACACTGGCGCGACAAAATTATACGTGCTGAGACCCAAGAAAGCAGAAAATTCAGATGTCAATACGGAGATTCAGATTCTTGACACTGTGGAGAAGAAGCCCAAGGACTTGAACCATCAACCTGAAAAGCCAAAAGACTGCGCGCCTGAATTGAAGAAAGAAGTCACCCCAGATGTCTTGACAGTAGTCCAATCCCTCGATCTTCTCAAGCAAGAACCCAATGACAAGATCAAAGAAGAATTCCTCGAACCCCCCATTGTCAAGAAGGAATCCAAGTCCAAGGCCCGGCCAAAGAGAGACACCAACGAAACATTCAGAGGAAGGATCACGAAAAAGGCACCAGAGCCTAAAACGGGAACGAAAGGAAGACCTACAACGACGATGAAGTTCAGGAGCTTGGAAATCGAGGAAGCCATGTATGATCTTGCATTCACGAAGTGCCAGGGTAATATCCAAGGTACATACTTCTCCTTTTTCCTTTAGGAAGAATCCGATATTGACGTTTTGCAGCGGCCATCGACGCAGCCCTTTCGTGTGCTCATCATGCTGGTCGAAAGACTATCAACTTACAAGACGCTAGGATGGCGAGATACATGGTCAATTATTGGTAATTTAATTTGGTGGCCAAACATGTTATCATTATCAAAATAAGGGGTCATGAAAGCACTGCTAGTAGCATAAATTTTTGCTTCAACGATAATTCACCATTTTAACAAACTCTTTTCTCCACTTGCATGTATATCGGATGAGGAAGTGACTTGTCCTGTTATTGTGAATGCTTACAAGGCGATACAAATGTGACCCCTACATGTATTCCAAGTATTTGGGTAACTGTCTGAAGACATTCTCTAATTCATGATTGCCGCTCTTTCTATTTGTTCCAAACTCCGTCGTGATTCTTCATGTACGTACTGCTATTTCCATATACTCCAAGAAATGCGACAACACACGTACGCCAAAGTACCATGTTTCCCAGGGTCTATCCTGGTAATCCATGTATCTTCCAATGCTTCATAGCCAAAATAAAACAAGTAGGAACCTCATTTTGGTAACTCCCCTCGCATAGGCGCCTTCTCAGCATCCTTAATCTTCTGTTCCTCCATAGTGACATAGCCCACGAATTTCTCAGTCATTCTCGCACACCAAGGATCCACATGTTTAGTCCATTGGTTGGCAACCGAGTACAAAACAACGAACCAGATCGGTAAACAAAGCCAGAACCTCGCTCTTCCACAGAGGGCTAGATTGGGTGCACGCTCAACTTTACCGTCGGCCTGGACAATGTCGGCGGGAACCTTGAGTCCGAAATACATCCAGACGAGGAGGGTGCGTAGCAAGTTTCCGTGGAGCAAGTAAACTGCAAAGGAGTTCTTTCCAAACCAGAGAAGGTATTTGTTAGAGAGAAAGCCTTTGATGCCAGGCGAAAAGTGGATTCCTAGCGCGATGAATTCTAACCCAATTCCCGAGTAAAAACGAGGGGTTTCGCTGTCTTTGGGAAAGATATAGGCGCTTGCCTTGAGCATGGAGTGTGACCATGGCATCCATTCAGGGTTGTGTTCTGGGTAAGAAGCAAGCAATAGTCCGATGAAAACGAGGATAGGCGAAAGGATTCGTGTGGTCCACTTTCGAGCGGAACACCATGCCATGTGCCCGGGCATCTGTGCGAGTTCTGAGAGAAAGGCGCCGAAGAAAACTTGCATACCGAACGCAGCTGAATGATATTAGCGAGTATTCCATCGCGTTGTGATTAGGAGTCTTACAATCTATACTAATATAGAAGAAAAGGAACAAGGCGAGCTCAGCCATTATTCTATACCGTGTTTTTATATGAGCGGTAGCAAAAAGCATCATATAAAGCCTCATACTACCATTTAAGAGCGAAACCAAAGTCCACTGGTTCGTATCGTAAGTATTCCATTGTCTCGTCCACGTCGTAACAAGATTCGAAATCAAATCTACAATAGCTTGTCCGATCCAAGGCGTCATATTTGGCGAGGTATAATTGAGCCACCACCCGCCTGCTCTATTCCCAACTTCATAAATACCCAATTGGCAAACAAACCATGATATCATGGTTGCAATCGTAGCTGGTATTACCAGTCTTGGTACTCGCCGAACAGCACTCCTCGAAATTGAGTTGAACGCAGCTTCTTGCTGTCCCGCTCGGAATTGTCGAATGGGTTTTAGAGCACACACATATCCCGTAACAAGAGAGAAGATTGAAACTCCTATACGACCTTGGAAGAGAATTCGGATAATTGGATATTGTGCTATCCGTGGTCTCATACCCTCCGCCGAGGTCGGTTTAAAAAGATCTTCGTCAAAGGCGCGAGCTAGATGAGTGGAAACGACGAGTAGGGAGGCAAGACCACGAAGGCCCTAACAACAGATGTCAGTCAGCGATATCCATCTGTCGAAGATTTAGCTCGAACGAAATACTTACATCCACCCACTTGACGTTTTCATGTCTAACGGTCATCCTCGCTTCGCGTTCTCTAAAAAAGCAACTAATAGAATTGTAGTCGAAGTCTCCTTGATAGGGTTCTTCGCTTGTTCTTATTAGAAGTATCTTTCGCCGGTTTTGACTTTGAAAGATCCGCGCAATAAACGAGTGTAAGTTGGGTAAAGACAATGGAGTGTGGTGGACTGGGTATTTCGACTATGGAAGGCAAATGAAAGATTAAGTAGTGCAGTGCAAGGGTAGTGGGGCTCCAAGCAGTGCCTGCAGGGTGATACGGATTATTTGCGTCTCGAGGGTTCCTGGTATCAAGATCTTGACAGCCCGCGCCAGATGAACTGATAATCAGATGTTGATCATAAATAGAGATAAGAGCATGGATGAGTTGCGCCAACAACTTCTATTAATTGCCCAAAACCTATCCTTGCTCTCTTGAAGAAGTCTTCTCCAGGAATCATTCTTCCGGAGAGATTTGAAAACCGCTTGTGCTTAGGAGAATGACGGCGGCCTATCATCTTTGAATGACGTTTCGGAGCATCTAGATGCACTGAATATGGAAGGCGCTGGTAGCCAATTAGACTCTTTCTGCTGTTACATTCTTCCATGCATTCTTCCACCTCCATTCTTGCCCAGCGAACACGATGTCGGTAAGTCTTCCGCAGACGACGATGCATACGCGGCTCACGAGTGGCTTGTTATGTTTTTCCAACACATGGTGATGAGAGATCCAATTGGCATGATACTCCTTGACTCCTATGAAGAATGAAGAATCAGAGTTGCGACAGCGGAAACCGGTGGATCTGCAATCCGAGAAGCCCCTCCTCCATGCAATGCTTCCAGTCCAGCCTCCCGGGATGCCACAGGGGTTGGGCTGCGGGGGAACCCTCTTTTCTCTGCACAAGGATCAAACAGGCGGGGAATCTTTTCATCGCAAGTTTGGAACAGTGTTTTTATCTCCGAATTTTTCCAGCGGCCCTTGATAATTTCCACGATGTTAATATAGAGTGTAATGTGGGTACAGATGACATAGTTCGTCCCAAGGTACTGTACGAGTATCTCCACCCAATGCTTCGCTTCAGCCCGTGGGGGAGAACGGACAATTTTGTTCCAACTTAGTTACAACAGCATGAAGAACGAAACTGATACCAAAGCCAACAAATCTGCATGGTCAGTACAAGGTAGTCGTGACCTGGCAATTTACCACGGTACACTAGTGCACTAGTCACTGGCGCGAAACCAAAGCCCATTCTGTGCTGTTGTCTCCAATACAGAGTCCGGGAAACGCGGCAAAATACAAGACCATGATATAGGAAGGAAATGGTGTTGGCAGCTAGTTAACAATTACGTGGCCCCCACGTTTGCAATCGAGTTTGTGAAGCGTCCGGATGTCGCACGAAAAGGCGGCCGGCATACCGGCATCAAGAGTGGTAACATAGTCTGGCGCGGCCAGAGGATTTGCACTCTATCTCGAGCTCATTCAGTATTCAGAAACATCCGATCCCTGATACGCGGTGTATCACCAACCATTATATTCGAGTCCAGTCCGGTCTTTTGAGGCTACCTCATGCCGAATGACAAAATTTCTTACAAAATTTCTTACAAAATTTCGGATTCATTTGGTTACTCGTTTCGTTTCGCGCCACCTTTCCACTCCTAGGTCGAGGCCATGATACCATTGAGAAAGTAGGGCTGGATCCTCGTATATCGTACAAAACGACGAATACGAAAAGAGAGATTCACGGCCGTCTTCTCTTACTTTATTACATTTAGTCGTTGGCGTCATCGGGATGGTTATTTAAAAAGCGTGGAAAGCTGAGCATGTACGCAGATCATGTCTAAAGAAAAGAAAATATATATTAACGGAATTCAAGTCTCTAATCCGGTATTTTGGCTAAAAATCAGGGCCGAGCCGTATCGTAAACTAGCTACAGTATCAACCCTCTTTATCACAGATTACAACACTCGAAAAACAAGTAGTAAACCGCATTCACAAACCTCTATCCAAAAAAGCTTTACAGTATTAAACTTCTCGATCCGGAAATCAAGCGATAGCGCCGAGGGAAGCGCACTGACTATTAGGCCACAGACCAATCCCCAGAAATGAGTTCCCGTTTCACAACAAGGAGAGGCCAAGCAACGGTCCGGGCATCTTGGAACCCTCAAGAACTACAGGCGTCGATCTCCTATAAATATCTTCTTGGTAGGAACCGTCAATTTTGGCTCGTTCTCTCCGGTCTTGGGAATTTACCGCCGTCCATTTCTGAAAGGCGAGTGAGCATGGCGCGATTGGTCTGTCAAAAATACTTTTGTTGTTCGTATGGACGGGTTAGGCTAGTTGTATGACTTGCATTTACGTGGATGTGTCGAGTAAGTTGGGGGGATTTTTAGGTGATCTATAATAAACTTTTGGTCGGAAGTGATAGGTGAGTTCCGCGCGAGTGCCTCGTCTACTTCCATTTAGTTCCCGACATTAACAATTGACTTGGACGAACTGACTTCATTGAAACCCAATATTCTACCTGCTCTAACGAGTATATTTTTCCAGAGGTTCCTTGTTCATCTCCGTTTTCACACTTTTAAAGTATACTCAACTTAACTTGAGTAGTGAAATCACTACTTAACTCAACTTAACGCAATCATCTAATCATACTCATTCAACTTAACTCGGGTAGTCCTTGTATTAACGCTAGTTATCTAGAGGTTCCTTATACCTCTCTATTTCCACACTTTCCAAGAGTAAGTACGTATACTATTTTTCTATACTTTAGATAGTCTCATATCCCTCGATAACATCCAACAACGCAATTAATGTTCTCTTATTAAAACCTTCGATTCAGATACTCTCTATCGTTTTATATAAAAAGAAAACGTAAAAGAATACGTGAACTCTATAAAAGAAATAATACTAAACTACAGAACTCCATAGTATAGCTCATAACAACTAGATAATTAAATAAGATATAAATTATAATACATCACTAAATACCATTTCATTGGATCTAGTATTATTAAATGACAGCAAGTCAGAGTACACATGGGTCTTACAACTCAGGTAACAGCTATTATCAGGTTTATACCAACAGGTATTTTCCACCATATACACCAAGGTAGAACAAGTCTTATTCAGATTTCAGTCTCTTATACAACCCTCAAAGGAGACACCATCATATATAAATCTCATTCGCTCTCTCAGTGATTAGCTCCTTATAAGTTATTTCACTCAACACAATTCTTATTCTACCATTCTGGATTCCCTAGCATTCCACATATCCTGTTCAACGTACGGGTTATGAGCGCCGGTCGCACGCGTAGGGTGTCGGAAGTTCATTGGACTCCTGGAGAGGAGCCTGAGCCTGCTTTATCTCCTCTACCAGTTCGTCCTTTTTTATCTGAAAGGCCAGGGCAAGGGAGCCAGTCCAAGGCTAGAGTAATGAGCCGGGACCTAATCCGATTTGAGCCAGAGTGTGAGCAAGCCAGAGCAGAGGATATACAGGATCGAACACGTTCGCGAAGTCATCTTCACCGCTTCCCTAACACCAAGTCAACAAGGCGGATTCAAACAAGTTATCAAAGTCTCGCCAAATTAAATTCAAATTCAAAGTCAAAGTCAACCCCCAAAGTCCAGCGTCGCCCAAAGCCAGAATCCAAAATCACAAGAATCAGCTCCTTAACCAAAACCCAGATACCCTACGAATCTCGGAATACTTCTCACACTACAGGCGTGGGGTTGACGGAAAAGGGGTGCACGGAATGGGTCGGTGTGTAGCGAAAAGGGTAAGGAGGTCTTAGATTTATTTTACAAGTCTTTGTTTGTTCCTATAGCGATGGAAAGGGGGTGTGTTGTCAGGTTTATTCTGACGAGTGGTTTTTAGCGCATATGGAAGCTGTATAGATAGGAATAGGAGCGTATAAAGGAGGGGTATTGTGAGAGGCCAGACCTCGAACAACTCAAAGGTGTGGGTTCAATATTCAATTAAGAACTACGTGGTCTGTAAATACATGTTCCTCCTCTACTCTTATACTAAATGTAGCATTTCCATTGCATTCAACACTGTTCCATAGTATTACCAATCTTCTGCGTCATAGCATTCTATCTTATTCCATGGCGTTCCAGAGGCGGGGCCGCTTAGCTTAGCGAGGGCTCTTGGCCCGAGCCCCACTATGGGTTCTAACCCTCACAGGTATATACTAGCTACAGGGCTATATAAATATAAGCCAGACTCCTACTTATAGTACTTAGCTCCCTAGTTATCTGAATACGACTCTTCTAGTACCCTACCATTTATATTCCTAGCAACAATAACCACTCGAAAAGAATTTATAAAAACACTTATTTTCTTATTTATAAAGACCTACCTAAACATTACTTATATAAATCTATACCCACTATACCATTAAACTAACACCCTAGCTAAATACTAAGAATCACAATACCACAACCCTCCTCACCCTCCTTCTCAACTCTTCCATGAACTCCTCGTCCTATATCCAAGAACCTTCAATAAGCTCCCCTCACAATAAAAAGACATAACATAAAACAAATAAGCCAGAATACAGATCTGAGATCCAGAGAAGCTAGCTACTATAGAAGAGGAAGTAGATAGGGAGTCTTTTCTTTCTACAACGACCCTAATAGAATAGAAGCCGCTAAAATACTACTATAGCACCAGTACTAGGTAACCGAGACAGGGGTTAAGTAATAGAGACAGGAGTACAAGAGTATAGTACTATAACAGCTTTATAAAGAGATATCCATATAGCTTCCACAAAAGTACTGTATAGAGAGAACGCTAAGTAGATTCTATACAAAGGTGTTTTCTATGATGAATGCTTTTTTGGTTGATTGTACATATATCGAGTTTAATATTCTCATGTGTCTTATTGTTCTCCCTTTCCACAATCCTCCTCTCCCCCCTCAATCCCACTCAATCCCACTCAATCCCCCTCCCCATCATCCCCCAACTTAAACCCTTCAACCCTCAACCCTCACCACAATAAAAAAAGAATAATAAAAACACAACACCTCAATACCACACCTCAAAACCTTTACGATAAATAGGTACAGTATAAGTAACGTGACGTATCCGTAGGCCTCGAGCTAATGATTGAAGATTGAAGATTGAAGATCGAAGGATACTGTAGTGTAAGTAAGGTAAGGTAAGCTGAAGATGGAAGTTAGGTTAGGTTAAGTTAAGTTAGTTACTGGTGATTAAGTGAAGTTAGTTACTGGTGGTTAATTTAGGTTGGTTATAGTAGGTAGGTTAGTTATAGTAGGTTAGGTAGGTTAGGTAGGTTAGGTAGGTTAGGTAGGTTAGGTTAGTATTGAATTAGAATTTAAGTAGTGTAATAGTGGAGTGGAGGAGTAGGGGTGAGGCGGGGTGTATATCCATCTCATCTATATATCTCCCCCTTCCCCCCCAAGAAGAAAGAAAGAAAGAAAAGAAAAAGAAAAAGAAAAAGAAAAAGAAAAAGAAAGGACAATTAAGATAAGACAACACTCAACACTCAACAAGGAAAAATAAATCACATCTCCTATCCTATCCTATCCTATCCGACGAATAAATTAATCTATTCATTCATTCATTCCATCATTTGATTTCCATTAACCCCCCCTCCTCTCCTCTCCTTTCCCACCCTTACTACCCCCAAAACCAGAGATGTAGAACCCCGAATAGTGAAAAAAGCTTAGACCGACCGCATCACTCAAATTCTACATCTCTATCCATACCATTAATCCCATCATCTCTCACAAACTCATCACACACACACTCACACCACACACCACCTCACATCTCAAAAAAAGAGAATCATCATCACACCTTCAATCTCATCTCATTTCGAAGAGGTTAAAAAAGAAGAAGAAGAAAAAAAAAATCCTATCATCGTCTATAAACCCTTTCCTCCCTCCCCCTTCCCCCAAAAAAAAGACGCCCAGACCAGCCAAGGCGAAAGCCCAACTACACTACTACACCCGCTTCCCTTACCCCCTCCATCCATTCACACGCTTGCTTCCAAGAAAGAAAGAAAAAAGAAGAGGAAACATTAGAACAAAATAATCCCATCTCCGCTCCAAGAACCGCAGATGAAGAGAAGAAGACCAAAAAATGTCGAGAGAGAGAAAAAGACAAGAGAAGAGGTATAAGGCCCAGCAACAAAGCAAGTGAAAAGAGTCGAGCAAACTGGAAAAAAGAAAAAAACAAGCAAGATAAGTCTTCCCATCAATCAAGCAGAAGAAATGAATACGCCAAATACCACATTTGGACGCCAGGATATCAAATTCGCCTCCGACTCCCCCCCAACCCCTCACTCCCCACCATCCAAGCCTTGAACCGCACGCCAGCAGTTGGGAAACAACGTGAGAAGTGAAAATGATGATGATGATGATGATGATGATGATGATGATGACGACGACGATGATGAAAGAAACAAGAAAATGATGATGAAACGCTATCAAGCCACATCTCACCACCCCTTCTTCCTTGCAAATCGCTTGTTCAAGAGGGCGAGAACCTTGGGTACATTGAACTGAACATATTCGAGGTCGAGGTCCTCTTGGTTATCCTTCTGCATCTCGAGTAAATCATCCAATTTCAGATCAAGCTCGAGAAGTCCACGATTCCGACCTGGTTTCATTAGTATGTGTGTATATATATTCTGCGCAAATGGGGTACGGGTACTCGTCATACCCTTATAATGTAAAGAAATAACAAAAGTGCCCGGTAAAGGACTAGTGAAATTGAAATAGATGTTTGCTCTCCGATTGTCGGGCACATTACTCTTCTGAATCACGCCTTCCTTCTCCAATTGTTGGTGAGTGAATTTATATGGGCCTAGAACTTGATGTTTTTGCTGCTTGCGTCGAGTGCCTTCACTTTGACTTCGAACGTTATGCAAATAGCTCTTGTATGTTTCAAGTTGACCCACCAGGTAAGAGTTGTGATCTCTAATGGTTTTGAAGACTTCATCCAGCTTTTGGGTTTCGAGGATGACACCGTCCTTGAGAGATCCGAGATGCTGTAATTCTTGCTCAACCTCATCTCTAAGGAGACTGAATTGATCGGATTTGTCAATGACTTGCAGCTCTTGCAATTGACTCAGCAGCTCCATTGCTCGTATACCTTTTCGCACCATCACAGCATCATTTCGTGATGTCGCTGCAGCATCTGCCACACGTTCGAGGCGAAGTGGTCTTCGAGCAACTGCGCTATTACTTGGTATCGATCGCATGATTTGAACAAAAGTCGACTTGGCTTCCATAAAGTAGACTTCCTCCTGTGTGATGTCCAAGGCCGCTGTCAAATCATCAATGGCTGTTTCCCATTTACTGAAAAGTGGAAGATTAATGGCCCTGTTTTCCTTCCGAGGCAGCTGAGCTGGGGCAGGCCCAAGATCCGCCAAGATCACAGCTAAGTGGGAGTTTGCGTCTCTGTTAAGCTCAGCACTATGTTTGTCCAGTAACGCATGGGTAGCGTAAACTTCATTTAGCGTGATTGAAAGTTCCAAGTCTTTCTTCGATAGAGCGACATAATTATCCATCTCCAAACTTTCATAGAAATCCTGGACTTCGCATAGATCGAGCATGAATTTGTTCACTCTCTCCTTGTTGTATTGAATAAAAGGTTGAAGTTTGGCCATGTATGGTTCCTTGGCATATGATGGTTTATTGGCCAAGTTTTGTAGCATTTTCGCAATCAAGGTCAGAGTCCGCCTTGGCTTATCGGCTGGAGTTCCCTCGATGAGCATGTACGATTTTGGAGTGACGATTGCGGGGTTGATGAAACGAAGAAAGAAGAAGCCTCCGATAAGCGTGCAAATAACCTGATCATTTGCGTCTGGATATTTGCGCTTCGTAAGACTTCGGATTTGCTTGCATATCCATCTGATTCCATAGGGAGTTTCGTCCAGACCATCAATAATCGTTTGCAAGAATCCGTTCGCAATTTCCATCAACATCGTTAGTCGGGGCTCAATAATGGCCTGTACTTGAGAGTTTTCTGCCGCTTGCTCAGCAGTCACACCTCGTGGTAATGAAGCAGGTAAACTCCCAGTATCTTCTTCAATTTGCTCAATCATTCTTTCGTAGACCTTCAAAGGGTTGATCTCCAGATCAAGATCCTTCAACTCAATCAACCCATTAATTCGATCAGCCAATACTGTCTTCAAATAACTTTGCCCAGGACCTCTTCTAGTGTATGTTGTCATCATTCGTGAAACGGGGGTATTCGCGCGGAGAAGGGACGAATATTCGGGGGTATTATCGAATTGATACGTTAGGACAGACTATGGAGCAGGTTTCAGTCACATGGTCAATGGATGATTCAAATTAATTACCTGAAACATAGTCAACAACAAATGTTCTTCGCGACTCTCATATTGGTTTCCATAAATTGTGAACATGACTGTTTGTAGCAGAGAATCAATCTCGGCCATTGTCACCAGGCGGCAGAGATGCGCGATATGTCGAGGCTCGGATTGGAGAAGAAACAGCAAATTGCCATATTTTTGGGTCTTCTCGTCGTTGGGAAAGAAACCTTCCTGTAAGTCTGAAGCATCTTCCAGATGACTTGCAACCTCGTTTTGCTACCAAGGTTAGAATACACTTTCTACATAGGAGGCCGTCCCTACCTCTTCCAATGCCATTCGGTTTTGAATCAACAGTGCTATTCGAGAATCGAGATATCTGACATCTTTTTCCAAAACGAAATTCTTCTTTGATTGGGAGGATATCTTGGCTTTGAGGTCGCGGAGGACTTTCTGGGCTGGGAGCGATATTAGACGTTTATCATTCAATGCTCTTTTGGGAGCGCTTACCCTTTGCGAGGTCATCTTCAATCTCCAAATCCTTCTCATTCGCAGACATGGACAAGTACAACGTGGTCATGGAATACCGCTTCGATTGGCGGACCGACCTGCTGCCATCTTGAGAAGACATGGTGTTTTGACGCGACACTGGCTGGAAGGAGGATGACGAGGCCGTCGAGGCCCGAGAAGGTGCTTGAAGCATCACGCTCATTATCTGACTCTAAATTGGCGTAATTGTGAGGGTTGGGAGGTTGACCTCCGGATGCGATTAGATTCGGTCGCCTTGCGTTTCAGCGATATGGTGATGCCGATCTTACGAACAAAGGGGACAGACGGGATTGTCGCAGCAACCAACCAACCAACATACACTTTCGGAATGAGTAGGAATGACCTTGGTGTCGAGTGAAGTGATTCCTGCGCAAAGATTACGAATGGGTGGATGTGATTGAGTTTTTGCAGACGATTCGGTGAATAGCGGGGATCTGAGTCTGGGATCCAAAGTGGTGATTCGATGCCGACCAGCGAGCGACTCGATTACGGAGAAGGCGACCACGGGGTGGCGACTCTGGTGATGAGCGCTCCACTTTTGATCTCGACTGATACTGTAGATGCGCCCGTTTTAGAATAGTCGAGTGGTTGCTCGCAAGAAATTTTGGGATGGTTGTTGTGTCTGCCCTTTGAGATGGGATGGGATGGATTCTGCGCGACGGGTGGCGGTACAGTAAGTAGGCTTGCGAGCGAAGAAGCGATACGTGGTGAAAGCAGAGGATTTTACGCAAAGGAACGACTCGATATCGGATGAGGATGGGGATGGGTTGACTGGCGCAAGGTGGTGGTGGTGGTGAAGGATTGGGGGGTAGGATGGTACTTAGTATGGAGTAGAAGGAGTGACTGTGTTGGGAGAGTTGTGCAGTTGCAGTGCTTCGCTGTGCTGTGGTGATGGATGATGTTGACCAGTGAGGGAGTGTCAGGGCGCTTTGGGGGTGCTGGGTGTTGGTGCGGTGCGATACAGATAGGGTGGAGGTACTGGAGGTAATGGAGGTCAACCTGAAACAGCTTTCCTATAGCGGTGTTTGGCCCTGTGTACGTAAATTTGCAGGTGCAGCAGTGTCAGTTGCAGTGTGGTGGTACCTAGTAGGGTGGACACTGTGGAGGATGGTGGTAGGTGCGAGGGTCCTTTTTAGCTTTTCATAGCCTCCAACCTTCCATTAGAAACAGCTCTGCCTTAACCAATACAACACAACCCACCCCTCTCTCCCCCAACACTCCCTGCCAGGCCGCCCAGGCGCAGGTGTCACCTAAGCTTCAGTATAGAGCGCAGCGATTCCAGCCTCCACGGCAGTGGCCCTCGGAGAGCCAGCGGAGCGTCACCTAGAGGTATCTACAGTTCTACCGTTCTACAGTTCTACCGTACCTACATACCGACATCATTTCTCGGTCTCTCGATTGCTTCACGATCATCAGCAATCAACCCTTCCATTTCTACGCAGTACTCGTATCAACACCACCACAGCAGCGATGAAGGCAATAAGGCAGGGCAGGCAGGGCAGGCAGGGCAGGCAGGGCAGGCAGGGGCCAAGCCAAGGGATGGCCTGGGATGGCCTGGGATGGCCTGGGATGCACCTGCTTCAATTGCGGCAGCGGCAGCGGCAGCGGTAACCGCAACCAGAACCTGGAAGCAAGCGTGTGAGGTGCTGGTGGTGCCTGACTGGAGTGATGAATGATGCCATTTCTCCCCCACGGATCCATACGGAGCCCTCGACAGAAAGGGGTGTCACTTGTCTGATCTCTTGACCTCTTGATCTCTAGACTCTTGATTGTTCGGCAACTTGGCTTCCTCCGCAATCTACAAGTATTGTTCGGCGGGTGGCTACAGTACCGTGCTTGACGGGCATGACATTGCGGTAGCGTACCGCCACTGGTACCTACTTGTACAGTATATCACGGTACATCTGCAGGTTACCCGCAGTAGTCTCCATTCGCTCAATCTTAATAGTGTTCTGTGCTATTAATAACGATTGCCGCGAAGCGTGATGTGTCTTCCAATTTCTCGGCAATCGTCGTGTACCTAGGTAATCGAGTATTCCGTCCTCAGGGAAACGACCATCAATTCATACCTACTCTTCCCTATCCGACGACTGTTCACCAAACCAGGTACCGCAGTAAATTCCGCCAGCAACAACTCCCAAGCTGGGGATCCATTGCCACGATCAATAACGGCCAGCAAATAATGCCCGGCATATGAAGAATGCCAACACCACGCCTTAATCTCGCTGACAGTGCCGGCCGCGGATCCGATGGACGATCCAAAGTTAGTTACTGCGATGTACGAGGTACGAGTATCTCCGTAGAGTACTTTGTTGTACAAGTATTGAGAACAGCCTGTCATCTTATAGTGCTCGGATACTTCTAGAAGTAGATTGTTCTATTCAAACTTTGCAGGGATTAAATAACACGTTTACTGAGTATATTCAAATGAAGCCAGAGCACAGAAGCAATGCGACTACTTGTACTTGCCACAGTATCTTTTGGCGTCTGTGAAGCAGCACAGCCACAGCCACAGCCACAGCCACAGCTCAAACTCGGAATCCAAAACTACCGACCGATCCGATGTATCTGTACAGTACAGTACCTGAAAACGGATACCCTACCGGTAATATACGGTTCAGTACTGGTACTGGTATCTTACAAGCTTCCACGCCTCACTTCCAATACCATTCTAGAAACCCATCTAGATTCTACAGTAGCCTTATTTACCATTCCCCTTCCTTAGCCTGGCTCTGGCCCTAGCTGCTACTGTAAAGAAGGCTAGGTAGAGTGCCACGCCAAACAAGGTACCGAGCCATATGAATACCAAAACTCCGCGCGATCTATCAAGGTGAGGAAAGGAGAGGAAAGGGGGTCTGAGGGTTTATCGGGCAATTCAAGGCTGAGGATAACGACGATACGAAGAAGCACCCCCTCTCTCCGCCTTGGATCCTTTGGAATCTAATCTTATCCTATAAGAAGGGGGTTCGTTCGGATCTCGTTTTACCTGGTATTAATCTCTTTCGCTATATGTAGTATACTATCTAGGTACGTATCTACGCTTTAGAGGGGTTTGAGTAAGTAGTTGATCCTTCGTTATGAAGTATTATAATACTTAAATTAAGTAATATTATATTTTTCATCTAATCCCCTTTCATCCTTCCTAATAAATATTTCAAAGTCCCATCGAAGCGCGTCCCTCCGTCCCTTCCAACCATGTATTCTTAGGCTTTTAACGACTACCTAGTACCTAGGAAGTCACACGCGACAAGTCCAAGGCATTCAAAACGCAAAACACATCGAACTCCCCATGGTACTGTACAGATAGTGTTCAGAGAAGAGAGGTTGTGGTTAGTGGTAGGTAGTTGAGGTTGAGGTTGTTACACCTAGCAATTACGGCGTTTCATGGGAAGAGTCGTGGTGTGCGTGTGAAGAGAGATGGGGAGAGAGGGAGTGAGACTGTATTAGCGTTCTTGAGGTACTGTATATAGAATAAATTCTGGGTTTGCGTTGAGGGTGCGTTGGGTTGGTTCTTGATACTCTCTCTCTCTGGTGGTGGTAGATAGTAGAATAGTTTGAGTTTAGAAATATAGGTTTTTGGTTGGTCAGATTACTTGTTTGTTGGGTGGGTTGTCGGTGGTGTGTGTGTAGAAAGGTATTTAATTTGGGTTGCACTGGTATATATAGATTGAATGTTGGGAGGCAGGTAGTGTGGGGGATTTTATATACTTAATTGTATGGATATATATGCTCTGTGTATATATAATACTCCCTCGCTCTTCTCCCTACTTCTTCTAATGAAAGAATGAATGAATGAATGAAATAGATGGACTTCCCACAACACATCTAGCAAAGTAAGTTCCTCTCGGGGTATAAAAAGACCCAAGTCCACAAAACTCAGGACGTGTGAGCAATGGCAAAAACTTTCAGCTACCATGTGGTTTTCTGGAGAGTGAGTCGAGGAGCGAAACGTAGCCTACTTCCGGGATATCGCAGGTAAAGGGGGTTATCTATTCTCTTCGCGGTCTTTGTATGGTTTTGACTCTTGAGGATTCTTTATGATAATCAAAGATAGTTGAGGAGCTTGGTTTGCTGTCGAGGTTTTGGTTGTTGTCGTTTTTATATCTTACTTTCGTTCCGTTTTTTCATTTAGAAGTCTTTTTAAGACCACAAGAATTGAAATAGATGGACATGCTCTCTAGCGAGGAGTAGAACAGAAGTGTGATACATTTGTCTCTTAGTCCGTGGGGCATGTGTGTCGTTTATGATCACTGAAACATAGCCTTATAGATGCTCACTGTGATGTTAGTAAAGAGTAATAGAAGAGGGTAGTGGATTATATATGTAGTTCTTTTTCTAACCTCGTCTGGGTTATTAAGGTAGGGAGGAAGTGCACTATTCGTACTGTAACTTTGAGGGGTGTTGCTAGGGTTGGTGTTCTTGCGCTTTACCTTTTTATTTATTTTTATTTTTGTTATTTTGAAGTGTCTTTAGATGCTCTTGGATGGTACTCATGGTCTCTTTATAACGATGCATTGATGGCTGTACTAAGTGAAAGTTGGAGAGGTAAAGATAGGAAGTTGATGGATGTATTTAAAGCCTTTTCTGGGCTGGGACTGAAGTACGTGTTTTCGTCATGGGGAGACATTACACTTATCTTAGGCAGATTCTAAGATGTGTATTAGCGTTGAAATATTCAAATTCGCACCTGGATTTGGTGGCAAGAGTATGCTCCTACTCATGAACTTCTTTAGAATCTGTATAGCTATAATAATAATGCTGTTGTTCTTTCATCTTCTGCTTATCCGACAATGACCCTCGTAGAACTGCGAAGTTTCTCTAACCCCGCTTATAGATTAGTTTTCGCTCAAAGGCGTTGAACAATTAGGAAGTGGATTTGTCCTTCGTACTGTACCAATCTCTGGTTCTAACCACATGTGGTGGAACTCTATGAAGCTACATGCTTGATGAAGAATGAGTTTTAATTTTATTGTTTCTGGATGTAAAAGAGGGCAGGGGAATCGACAGCAGAAGTTTGGACGACAGTAAATGTTTTAGTGTTTCCTACCAGAGAATACTTGTGCATTTTGAGTAGGTAGAAGTTTACTTTTCTACATAATACTAGAGCGATTTTGCTTCTGATAGAAAAAGATTCTTTGGACTCGGAGTTATAAGAAGACCTGAGTTCCAATTTCTAAAATAGAACATATTTTAGAATCCTCTGTAAATTTGAGGCTTTTATCACGAAGTTTTAAAGAGTAGCGGTCTGTCATTACTGGGATATAGAAAAGAAGTATGTAAAGTCCATGTGAAAGAAGACTAGGATCTTCGTTAATAGAAAAATACAGTTAATCAAAAACGCCATAATTAATCTGTGCTAGGATGCACAAAGGTGTCCTGCAATATCTGAACACTGTTACTTGGGATTACCAGAAGTAAGATCACGACTACTAGAATTCCAATCTTTATCAAGCCTGGAGAAATCTTCTTTACTATCTAAGAGAAGAAGAGAAATACGCTAGAGATGTTATGTGTTCCGCACTCCTAGCATCTGTTTCGAAATGGCTAAGGACGTAAACTTTTGGCTAACGAGAAATTTGAGGAGAGTCAGGAGACATCCGCTCCCCCTAATGCGTCTGAGCAGTTATACTCAAATAAATGCTTTATTTATTCTCCGACGGTAGCTTATTTGTCGAAAAGTGAACTCGAAAGTGAACTCTCCCTTGCTCTTTTGTTTATTATAACTACTATACTTATGGCTAAGACTACAAGACACCTTCCTGTAAAGCATACTGATTCCTTAAGCTTACATCTCCAATAGGGTGATTTGGCAACCACTTTTTTGTGGCGATTATAAGTGTAGGTTTGTACTAAAAAGTTGTTGAAAACCTACCTAAAGTGTTGCCACTACCAAAAGTCAAATAAGGCCTTAACTTTTGTTAGTACTAGCAAAAGGTAATCTACAAGTTATCCCATTTTCTAGTCCCTATTTATGCCTGGTACAAGCAATGTAAGCGTTCGTGTTCTAGATAGACTCCTCGTACTTGTATTTATATTAGAAACTGTCCCTACAAAGTCTTTATTCGATAATAATTCTTCACTAAAATCGGCCAGCCAAACCTCTTATAAAGTCATAAACCATATTACTTGTACGCTAAAAAACTTGACCACTAACATTAAAAATCGGTTGCGAAATCACCCTATTGTTCACACATATCAAACAAAAGACTCGGGATTCCTTGTTTACAGCAATCAAATGAATGGCTGTGGGCTCTACTTTTCAAAGCACTTAAAATTACTTTATGCTTGGGTAATAATGAGACGTCACGGCATACTAGTATAGCCGCTGCTGGTTCTTGTTGTTTGCAGTATTCATATGGAGAGTATTCAGGAACCCAAGTAGATTTTAATATTTTGTCATGCGATATCTCTGGGTTCTGTGCCTGCAGCCTGGTCAACAACACCACAAAGCAATGACGAAATACTTCATATGAAAACTTTTGCGAATATTACCTTACATATAAGGGAAGTATTCCGCACCAAGAGAATGTGTTTAGTTGCATACTTTCAAAACAAGGCCACGAAAGAGATTCTACTCATCAAACCGGCAATCTGACTCACTATCTCTTTACGAAGTACAATCAGCCACTTTCGCAAACAATGCCATAAATCGTAATTGTATCAACTCTAAACTGACAAACAGTCGTCCAATTGGTCCAAGAAACACCCAAGAAACCTAGGAACACTCATTCGGAGAAGATTCAGGTATAAAAATGTGCCTGAAATAGACTGCGGAGAGTATCCGCGGATCAAAAGCTTCGGAATGCCCGATCGCTCAATGCTGGATACCAAGCTTTCCCCAGGAAGTTTAGGCCGAAAGTCAAAAGCTGGAACGGTTTAAGGTTGCGAATATGGGCCAATATGCTCGATTTCTACTTCTATCAGAAATGATGGGAGGAAGGTTCCGCAGTGTGGAAGCGTCCATTTTATTTTTTTACTTCATGTTTTTTGGGAAGGTGCTAAATATAATTCTTTAATTGGGATGGGAAGTTGACACTTCTACCAGATGAAAACAATTTCGAGTGAGAACTTGCAAAGACACAAATGAAGTAAGATCGTCCTTACAACCCCAGGTCAAGACAAAATTCTACCCTATGGGATCAACACTTCCGCCGCTTATTTCTCCCCAGCAGCGAGAACTGGATCCATCATTGCCGTCTTTACCGACAACCGCTGGGCAATACTCGGCTCTTGGCGCTTTGAGGACCTATCAAACCCTGGGATTTGTTCAGAGGACCGGGGATCAAACAGCTCGCCAAGTGTGGCTTGATCACTGAGCCTTACGGGTCTTACGTTTATTGTGGGGAATGCACCCTGAAATGTCCCCTTGACCCTCAGCTGGCCTCTTCGATTCATTATATTTAAGGAAGAGTGTATTCTCCTGTTGATAAGAACAAACCAACAACCCATTCATCAACAACTCTCTTTCGTCTTTCACTTCGAATCTTAAATAAGTACTTAATTGTAACACATATTCTTTCTTGTCTTACCTAATTCGAAACCTCCACAATCCTCAATCCTACAACCAACAATAACCCCTTTTCCAAACAACGACAGTCAAGAACAAATAAAGAAAAGATGTCTGGATACCCACCTCAACAACCTCAATATGGTCCTCCACAAGGCCAATACCCCCCTCAACAGGGCTACGGATATCCTCCTCAACAACCACAGGTATGTTCCCGAGCACAAACTCGCGATCGGAAATTGGGAGACAGCGCTAATGATATTGCAGATGTATCCCCAACAACAACCCCAAGTTGTAATTGTCAAGGAGGAGAAGAAGGAGAGAGGATGTCTTACTGCTTGGTATGTTTTCCAACCCTCCCTTTCAGATCAATCTGCCTCCCCTCGTGTAGAATCAATTCGCTAACTTCTTCTTGACAGTTTGGCCACCCTCTGTTGTTGTTGGCTCTGCGGAGAGACCTGCGAATGTTGTTTGGATTGCTGCGAATGTTTCGATGAGTGCTGTTAGTCGGATAGGGTTCCATCCTAAAGGATAGATGGATTTTTTATGGGGAAAATACTTGATGAGACAGTCGAAATTGCGGGCGCGCGGGTTTTTATATTGAGATACCATTTGGAGTGTAAACTCTAGGATTAAGTGGGAAATGAAGATGAGGGAATTAATAATGATATTTTTTAAACTCACAATTGATACTCTTACTGGGCACAGGTGATTTCTCTGGCTACTTCGTACTAGTCTTCATATACTTGGCTGTCAAACTTCTCCGAGATTCCGGCTCAATCATTTTACTCTATAAATCCTTCGGATATGGTGATACTCCGTACAATGCAACAGATGTAGGGAAGATATAGTCATATAAATGGAATCGATTAAATGGTCGCCATGGAAGCTTGGGCCATATCTGGCACAAAACGTAGGCACTTAGTAATCTTCATACTACAAAACAACCAAAAATCATATTCCACTAACCCTAATTTCTAGCCCTAACTTCTAACCCTAACCCAAACCTAACCCTAACCAGTCTACATTTAATTTCTACTCCTAATAGTGAAAAAAAAAAAGAGTCGTTTGGAGTAGTATTTTAGTAGTGGAGGAGGTGTGGGGAGGGTTCTAGTGGCCCGTGCCTGGGGTTATACATGCATTATTTATGCCGTCGTGGCGACCATTTAATCGATTCCATATAAATCAAGACTAAATTACATAATTACGATAATTATACAAAAGAGTCCATTGTTTATGATTATTATGCCAAGTGGGGAAAACATAATTCAGAGACTCCATTATTTATATGCCGAAAATGACTCAATTATTATAGGTTATATAAATATAACTTGACCAACCCTAAACAGATGGAGAACAATTCTACAGGTCATCTTTGATCAACATTGGATTGATGGCATTACCCATCATGTCCAGCCAAAACCTAGTTTGACGTTTCGAATTTCGGGCCGAGCCGATCCCAACAAGTTCGGGCTCGCTTGATGGTTCATGGAAAAGCCGGGAATAACATCACTGGGAACTTTTTCTATTGACATGAATAAACTCAATCCCATCTTACTCCAACCACAGTATCCTAGAAAGGGGACTGCGTGTCGTACAGAAGGGAATGGAAACGTGAGAGGGGATGAGGGTGTAATGGGAACCAATGTAACCTCGAACCGGATATGCACGTCAGCCCCAATCATCTCACAACCCCTCCAACAGAAACGCAGAAACGGCTCCAAAATACCTCACGATCTTTGCCAACTGGACATTAGCAAAAATAACCACCCGCCGTCTACGCGCGCCAAGGGCTTTCTCTCCATAATCATCCAAACCAACCCGTTACAGCAGAGGGTCAGCTCAACAGGGTGGAAATCCCTCTGAACTAGGGGTCAAGACATCTTGATGGTCTCAGACCCCATTCCACGAATGGCACAGCCTCAAATTGGAGAGACCTGAGGGGCCAAGTGTGAGAAGTGCAGAGATGTGTGCTCTTTTCACTAGTGTGCCCACCCAATGCCCAGATTGTGGATGGATTATGCGGCAAACAGGCACAGGGGAGGATAGGTAAGCTGTAGGGACCCCACTTTGTACCACAGATATTGTGTATTAGAGGTCCCTCTCTCCCACTGAACACCAGTTCCTTCTGTCAATCTTGTGATCTTTTTCATACTTTCCCAAACAAAAATAATTGCACAGCATGTCGTTCTTTTCCAAGATGCAGAAGGAAGTGTCGGGGTTGATGGATGGAGGAAAGAAACCTGAAGCTGCCCCGCAGCAGCATGATGCTACCAGAGGTAACTTTCACCCATCTTTTCGACTCCTCTTATGGAGGAAAAAAAGCCTCACAGCTGACTGATTGGTGGGACAGGTTATGGAGGAGACTATCAACAGCAACAGCAGCAATACCCACCACAGCAGCAACAATATGGTGGTTACCAACAGCAGCAACAGTATCCTCCCCAACAGCAGCAGCAATATGGCCAACCTCAAGGCCAATACGGAGCCCCATCTCCAAACCCTTACGGAGCTCCATCTCCAGCAGGCAGTGCTCCCCCTGCTCAACAGCCATACGGAGCTCCTCCTGGTCGTGAGTTTACTCAAAATTTTTATATACCTGGGAAAAGCGAAATAGAGATGCTGACATCAAGAAATAGAATACCCTCCTCAACAACAATACGGACAACCACCACCAGCCCAGCAATATGGCAGCCCAGCTCCAGCCTATGGTCAACAACCATACGCTCCTCCTCCAAACCAAAGCATCCCCGTTCCTCAAACTCCCCATTTACCTCCAGGATGGACCGCACTATGGGACCCACAAGCTGGCAGATGGGCATACATGGGAGGTGATCAAAGGGTGATCTGGACACCTCCACAAGGACCATTTGTCGACCAACAAGGTCCTGATGGAAGTCGTGGAGCCATCGGTGGCCCTGTTGCTGCCGCTGCAGGATTTGGAGCCGCTGCTGGACCTGCTGGATACGGTGCTGCAACTGCTACGAGCGATGGAAAGGAGGTTAAAGCTGACAAGAAGGACGATGGGAATAAGAAGTTGATGATGGGTGCTGCTGGTGGTTTGATTGCAGGTGGTATCGGTGGAGCTTTGATTGCTAATGCTCTGGGTAAGTTCTTCCCCTGGATTATCTTTCTGGATTTTGTACACACTTGTTTATGAATCATTTCCTTTCGTTGGGAATGTATGGACAACAGCTAATTGTAACCTCTATAGACGATGATGACGACCACCACGGAGGCCAAGGTGGTGGAGGTGGATATGGTGGCGGTGGAGGATACGCCCCTGAAGGTTACCCAACCCAACAAGCATACCCTCCACCAGTTGGATCCATGAGCAGTAGTGATCGTGAAAGTCTCGAGGAAGCGAGAGAAGAGTATGAGGAAAAGCTCGAAGAGGCCTACGGATCTGATTAAACCTACCTTGGATACATCTAGTATTCCTGAGATCATCTTAAGATTGGTCAATAAACGAAATCATGAATAGACAAAACTAAGGAAAATACGTTTGCGCCTAGGGGCTTGCTTGTGATCATTTGTGTTGAAAGAAAGAAATACTATATGGAGAAGTGATCTGATGAGCCAAACCCTTGGCTATTTTAGTATACTCCCTAAAATCCCAAAAAGCACCACGTCGCTTATCACATCATCGCGTCTTTCAAAGAATCAAAATTGAGTCAAAAAAGGAGGGAAGCAACTCGCTAAGAACTCCACCATAAGTCTTGGCGAATGACGGACCGATGATGCCATTTCGACATTTTCTGGCACCACCGAATTTCAACCAACCACCACGGAGAAAAAAAGTTCTTCTGTCGCCCGAAGTATCACAAAGCCCCTAGCACGCATTTATCGCGTGGGATAAGATAAGAAAGCCAAGAATAATGAGGCTAGTAAGAATCGTATATAAAAGTCAATTGTATCCAAACCACTTGGTTATTACAAAATTCAAAATTCGTGAGGTCATCCAGATACCGCGAATCTGGAAAGATGTCAGATTTTGATAAATCCGTCTCGTATGGGACGACATCATCTCCTCTTCCTCGAAATGGCCTCGAAACTTCACAAATCGACCCGTCAAGCGGTGTCAAACGTGCGCTTAAAACTCGACATCTCTCCATGATGGCTCTGGCAGGAATCATCGGGCCAGGACTCCTCGTCGGCTCAGGAGGCGCTCTTTAGAATGGTGGACCGGCAGCTCTACTCATTGGATTCGGAGTCATTGGTCTGATTGCGTTTTCTATTATGCAGAGCTTGGGAGAAATCACGACGTTGTATCCCAGTGGAGGTGCGTTCACGAGTCTGGCGGATAGATTCGTCGATCGAGCGTTTGGCGTTGCGGTGGGATGGAATTACTTTGTGATTTGGGCCGCAGTTTTGGCAAATGAGTATAATGCTGTCAGTTCGATCTTTGTGTTTTGGTCTGATAAGGTTCCGCTTTGGGGGTACTTCCTGATTTTTTGGTTCGTGTTTTTGGCGTTTCAGTTGTTGGGTGTTCAGGCTTTTGGAGAGGCGGAGTTCTGGCTTGCGTAAGTGGTTGATATTCTAGTGGCGTGGTAGTGAAGTGGAAGTGATAATTGGAGTGAACTGACTTCTTGGTAGGCTTCTCAAGATTGGCGGGCTGGTCGCTTATTTTATCTTTGCGATTGTTTACGCAGCTGGAGGGCTTAAAGGTCAGACAGAGCCATTGGGATTCCGGTATTGGCATGACCCGGGACCATTTGCAGATGGGTTTCCAGGAGTTGCCAAAGTTTTCGTCTTCTGTTCTACCTTCTATGCAGGATGTGAGTCCGTAGCCGTAGCTGCGACCGAGACTCGAAATCCACGAGATGCAGTTCCTCTCGCCATACGACAAGTTTTCTGGCGTATAATCCTCATTTACATGGGCTCAGCGTTCTTCTTCGGACTCACCTGTCCCTCCAACGCAAAAGGTCTTGTAAAAGGCGGAAGTCGAGCTCTCAAATCCCCCATGACTATTGCTATCCAAAACGCAGGCTGGGAAGGTGGAGTCCACCTCGTAAACGCCTTCATCTTCGCAACATGTCTCTCAGCCACCAACAGTTCAATTTACATCGGCTCCCGAACAATCCTCTTCATGGCGCAAGAAAAGAAAGCCCCTAAATTCTTGGGCTACACTGATAAAAGAGGAGTCCCCATCCCCGCCATAATCTTCACCAATCTTTTCGGCACCCTTTCCATGATGAACGTCTCGACAGGCGCAAGCGTAGCCTACTCATACATTGTGAATCTCTTCGTCGTCTCTACATTTTTGGTTTGGGGCAGTATATCATTCATCCACATCCGCTTTCGCTCCGCCTGGACCTCGCAAGGTCGTTCCATCTCTGAACTCCCTTTCAAAAGCTGGGCGCACCCTTGAAATGCATATTTCGGCCTTGGGGCGAATGTCTTTCTTGCTTTTGTGCAGGAATGGACGACGCTGGCGCCGTTTGATGCGGGAAATTTCGTGGATGAGTATATTCTGTTGCCGCTTTTTCCGATTGTGTATTTTGGGTATAAGGTTGTGTATAAGACGAGATTTTGGAGGCTGGATGAGATTGATCTTGATGAAGGGCGTAGGGTCGATTTAGATGCAGCCGATGAGGATGAATATTATGGGGATGAGGAGTTGGGCGGCAAGAAAGTTGGGTTTTGGAGGAGGGTTGGGAGGAATATTTAGCTTTGATCGTGGGGTTTTGTATTCAGTCGTTTAGGGGCTTGTCAAGTCACAATGAGTTTGAAATATTGAGCGTTCCAGAAGTGCCCAAAGTGAATTGTAAGTTGGAGGACGGTCTTCTTCCAAAAGAAAAGATGGCGATGTTCGAATTGAGTCTCTTCTGAAAGCTTTTCCTAGGCTTACATTAACAGCTTAAACATGCGATTTACTGAGGAGACTAACCAAGTGTTCATCATGCAGCTGACTTGTAAGGATTTTCAAATGTACAACCAACGCCCGAAGCTGTTCTGTCATAGTGTTTCCGTCATTTTCTCCAACGACCGCGTATAGAACCCATGAATGGCTGCTTGTATTGAAGACTGGTGGATTGGGGAATTTGCTGTCGAATAAAAGTCTGTTGTCAACATGAATAAAGATGTTCAGACGATAGGAACTTGCTTTCGCTCAATATGCTTTCAAAGTAAGCTTCTCAAACAACAAACAAGAGTGGGTGGGTTGACATGTCTCTTTATTGCCTATACCTAATGCTTAAAGTTTTCTGGTTCCGCTCATAAATCACATGTTTCGCAACTTCGCTTTACTTCCATGTAAGCTGAAGATTTAAAAGATGGAAGGATATGAATCTCTCGATAATGAACGGGAAGTTTGAATAGGCTGAAGTCTCTTGTCATAGTTTGCTTTTCTCCATACAGCTGTACACTATATATAGAACAATTTTTGCACGGTGGAGCCGTCAGATATAGAAGCGCAGCAACCTAACATACATAAGTTTCTGCTTGATGCGGATAGTATTCTTCCTTCAGCAAAAGGAAATTTTCATGCATCTTAAAGCTAGCGGTACGTATTAAAATACGGGTCACCGAGTCCCAAAGAACGATGCACTCCGCTCCTCCCAATTAATGGCACTCGAAAAAAGCAGTCGGATTATCTCTTGATTGTCGCTTAGAAGTTCAACATATAGTCAAAATTGGGGTTTCTGAAGGTGTGGTACGAAAAGCTATAGAACTTCAAATCAAGAATAGATTCAGGGACCTGGCGCTCTTGAAAGTCCGCGCTTTTCCTTCTACCTACGCAAGTACGATCTGTATAAGTACATCGGTCGAACTACCAAATCAAGAATCATCAACTATTTCTCACGTTACAACGCTCAACAGAAACCGTCGAGTACTTGCTGTCGAAGTTAGTTTCGCTTTCGAAATAGCTGCTTTGATTCGCTTTGCTCATAAGACTGTATGTCTAAGGGTCAAAATGAACAGGAACTCATGTCTGTTTCAAGACATGTCTCGGATAAGCTGTATCTTTACTAGACTCAAATTATTAATATCTACCCGGACCAGGTTTTGCCACGGGTTGTTGTGTTTTCTCATTGGACTATTTTCTGGCCTCACTTTCTATAGTCATCCACGACCCAGATACACCTGAATGCCTAGCTCCACAACACTACAACAATACCCATACCACCACGATATCCATGAAAGAACGACAATGCGACTTTGCCAGCTAATGAGATTTCGCATCATTCGTGCTTCATATCAGAAGAGAGGTTGAGAGAGACATGTCAGGATCAAATTCCACTCTCGTGTGATCTCCCAGAATGGAACGTTATCCACAGAAAACAGATCCAATTAAGTGGAGATGAGTTCATAGCAAGTGTATAGGGCACAGTATTGTCATATGAAAGATACCGTACTGACGTATTCTCTTGCAGCAGACAGACTTAATAATCTGCCTACAGAACTTCTCTTGCAGATATTGGATAAATGTAGTTATGCAAATCATTCGTCCCTCCATGGCCTCCCCTTGGAATTTTTCCAAAAGATACCCTATATCATCCTTGTGTGCTGGGTTAACTTGCAGGAGACTTTATATGGTGCATTGGGCTTTGTATGAAAAAGTGAGCATTGAAGCCCTCTTTCCTATAACACACAGGACTCTCCGCCCGTCGACTATCTCAAAAAGCCTTGAAGACAGAGGTTCTGAAAACGTTGTAAAAGAGATGGACTTACATACATCTGATGTTTTGCACCAGTGGTTCACTACTGGAGGCAATAAACTCAAGGAAAATATGCTTATATGGAAGGAGAAGGGAAAGAGTACTTGGAGGCACAAATGGCGAATGGTGGCAGCAGCATGGAATAAATTCATATGCTTGTGAGAATATAGCCAGACTACTAGGGGCTCCATGAGAGAGAGGATGAGATTGGCCTTGGTGAATTTGGCTCTCCAGGTCTTGAGCAAAGACCAGAGACATACCATCAGCAAAACAGGTGCCGTATTTCGTTTCACTTACAGTGAATCCTTTCTCATATATATCACGGGCCTTAGTACACTTTGTAAATGATAGGCAGTGTTTTCATTTGTACTTTTTCTGTTGACACGACGCAAGTGTTTGTCAGAAACCCCACCTCAGCACACTAAAACTACACAACAAGACCCTAAACACCAACACCAAAGTATTACAGCTCTTTGGGTGTCGGTCTGACAAACATAACCAAGCAACCTCTGACTCAATTTCTATATCTACGGTCAGGATCAAAGACTGGATACTATGAACGACAGCCACATTCGACTGCCATGCTCCCTCAAAGGATGGAATGTTGTCCAAAGGGCCAAATCCCAAGTACGTCACAACCACATCTAGAGATGATGGTCATACTAACAATGCCTTCTTTTAGGAGACCGACTTAGCAAGCTTCCCACTGAAATCCTTCTACAAATCTTGAAGGAATGCGGTTATTTCAAAAGAGCAAATCCCGAATACGAAATCGCTATCATGTATGGCTCTTGTATGCCTATGAGATGGAATTCTGAGATGGATGATACCGACGGGTCTATGAAACTTATTCTGAGAGGACGCGACCCTTTCCCCCAAAAATACTGTTATCCCAAAACCTCACTCTTCTCACTATGTGCTGGGTTGACCTGCAAAAAGATTTATGATGTCCATTGGTCGCTGTGGGGAATGGTAAAGCCTCAAGACATCCCACAAATCTCCATGGTCTACCATGCTGAAGACGAAGTTTGTTCTTACCGCAAAAATGGAGATCAGATCTTTACACGGAATCCAGAAGGTACAGAAAGAACCTTGGAGTTTGATCCTTATAAACTTTTGCACCAATGGTTCATCTCAGGAGGCTACCGTGAGGGAAAGGAATGGGCAGGCTGCAAGTACAAAAATATTGTGACCAAAGAGATGCCAACTGAGGCTGAGTCCAAATCAAACGATAACCAAAGAAAGAACAAGGGGAAGCAGAAGAAGAAGGGCAACAAGGGTCGACGCAGCAGAAAGTAATGAGTTCATACTGGAATATGTCTTTCTGGGATTACGCAATTATCATCAGATGTCTTTGAGAGAAGCAACAATTGAGCATTCATAATTTGAGATCATAGGGATACAGATTTTCTTATAAAGATTCACTTCCAAAGGAACATGCATTATGAAATTTTGACCATTTGAAGATAGTGAATACCATGAAGTAAACTAGAAAATATTGTAGCCTAATCTTGCTAAACTATGAGGGTACCAATAGACTGGTAAATTGACTCGCTTAGGTGAATAGAGTGAGGGGTGTGAGGGGTGATACGTGAATTATTGTTGTGGGGTAGGAGCAGTGGAGCAGCTCTCCTTAGTATATATGACGCTTGACACTTAGCATCTCTTCGCTCCTTTCAATCAATGACATCCCTATTCTGGAATAGTCCTTCTACGCTCCTAGTGATACCCCAACGTAGACCTACTTGCTGGGGAGGTCTTGTTCTCTCTTCACACATTGCCCAACAACCAAGCAACTCTACTGTCACACCCCTAAGCCTATCACTCGCACAAGGCCTTAAGACAACAAACATCAGAATCCTTAAGTATAGAACCAATATCATCTAAGTGGTACTTGGAGAGAGAATGCCGCCTGACGAGATTGCGCATGGCCAAAGAAGACCGCCAGATTGCCCTTCCATGTGATCTCCCAGAATGGGATGCTAGTCAAAACAAGGCACTAATCGCTGCTGGTATATTGAAACCTGTTGGACCTCCAAGTAAGTACTATACTCTTATTGGGTTGAAAGGGTATTGGGTACTGAAGGTCATGGAGAATTGATTGCATTGTAAAAGGTAGCTATCTAAGGTGTTTATATAAAGAGTGTAAGGTTTAGGCAGACATGAAGCATTTAGGCAGCAGAACTATAAGTGGATCAAATAAGGAAGTGGAGCAAAATATCTTATAATCTAGTATATAGTATATTCAACTTTGATATACCCTCTTATACTATATATACTACTTGTTCCTAAGGCTATATATACTCTTCTATTTTCTATACTATATTAAATAATACTTAGGTAACTAGAAGTTTATTAATACTTAGCGCTACTAATACTTCTTATTAATAAAGTACTAAGTAGAATAATCTATAAATATCTAACGTGCATGTATAGCGAACCGGCCAAACAAGCGAACCGGCCAAAATTTTCTACACTCGCGATTGAAATTGTAAGAACTCTACCACAACGCCTCTAATTAAAAAACACTATTCAGAAATGTTTGGCCGGTTCGCTATACATGCACGTTATCCTTAATTATAAACGGTCTACTATACTAATATACTAATAATAGTAATCCGGTTTAGGATAAGACGTTTAGAGTAGGACCTACTCCTAACTAGTTTATAAAGATAGTAATTAATAAATAACTTGTTTAATTAATAGATTTATTAAAACTAAAATCCGAATACTTAGATACTACTTTGTCTACCTTATCTTATTAAGTTCTTAGATTTCTAGTTATCTAAGTAACGTTATTAAGTTAACTTTAAATATATTCCTTAATATCCTAAAGTCTCTATATTCGTTTAAGATAATCCGGATTATTCTCTATATTATTATTAAGATTTTAATTACTTAGTTTAAATACTCGACTTAAACTATATTTAGTTAGTAGATAGTCTCTTTTACTTAGCTAAGGTAGAAAACTATCTAGATTACTAGTAGTAGTATTTACTATTATTTAGAAAGATAATATAAATACTCTACTATCTTTAGTATCTATAGTATATTTTTGGAAGGTAGTTAAGGTAGTATAGTAGTATTCTAGTATTTTATAGTAGTAGAATTATTAAGTACTTTTAGCTTATTTATAATATAAGTTAAATAACTTTGTAAATAAAGTCTTAAAAGTATTATAAGTCTCTAATCTATACGCGTATAATACTAATTAGTATTAGTTTAACTTTATTATTAAATATAAGGTATAATATAGGAAGAGGCTAAACCTTAGTATTAGACTATTGCTATTATTAATATACACCGAGTTAAAGGTGTAGAAGTCGTACCGCTATAATATAGGTGAGACCAGCCTAGTTAGGTGGTCCGTGCCACCGAGTATATTCACTCTGATATTATAGCGACAAAAAGAAATACTAATAGACTCCGAATTAACCTATTTATATTTCTATTAGTATTTATATATCTTTTTGATTACGTTATTGTAATTTAGTGTTCAAAATGTACAATAGTAAGTGATATTTAGGGGGAACAAAATAGGAAATTTTTCCAGGACCCGAAGAGCCATCTCCTTGCTACATTCAAATCAAGAAACCATCAATTTCAAACACCTCCCCCTTAATACTAAGTCCCTACCAACCTACCTATACCAGGAGTAACGTACTATCACAAACAAGTTCGACTTCATATGCTGTCGTGTTTGTGGTTCTCTACTTTCATGGTCTTACATACTCATACGATTTTCTCTTGAACCGGTTGATCTAGACGTTAGAAAACATGATTCGTGGGCGCATTCATAGAGTTTGTTCGAAGAATCTGTGCTAAGATCGTTGTCGATTCCTGTATAATCTTGGTAGACAACGATCCCCTTTTGTTCTAAGATACAAGGCTCATACCAATTTCCCTGATATATGCTTACGAACAACAGCACATTCAAATATAGCGTTATTTCTCTCCTCTACACGCTTGGGCCACTAAGTTATAGGAGTATTACTACTGTAAAGGGTTTTCCCTAGAAGTAATCTGACCTCGCTTAACAGTATAGGGCTTTGACTTTTGTCAATAACTTCTGAAGTTTCACTGCAATAGAACGCTGACCCAACTCATCTTTCTTCCAAGTAAACCAAATCATCAAAACCCCAATCACACGCAACCATAAATCGCACCACCAAAAATTCTCTATCTTCCCATCTCATCGCTCCATCCCATCCCCACCTTTCCTCTCGCCTCCCCTCCCCCCTCCCCCCTCAACCAAAGAAACCCCACTCCAAACCACATCCCCAAACCCCCTTCCATCACCAACCCCACCCACCAAAACCTCCCAACGAACGTCCCCAAAAAATCGACGATAACACTTCCTTCGACAGCAAAACAAACCGCTCTAGCACCAACATCATGCCCAGTACCTTCCACCCTTCTACCCAAGTACCCATAATCCATCTCAGTCTCCCAATGGAGTGCTTCAATACACCCTTTCTTTTAGGAAGCACTAGCACTAATTCCTGCCTGGCCTTCAAGACACAACGACATAGACCCGGTCTGGGACCGGGAGTCTCAAGCCAATGCTCGAGTGAGAACAGGGATTGCGGGATTTTATTTGTACTAATATCATTAGCTAGCTGGTTTTATCAGGGGATAGCACTTCTCTGCATGTCCTCGTATTATCCAAAAGTAAGAATCCGGGGCTATTACTCTGCCAAAAAAGACCTCTTGAAAGCCTTTTCTCATCCGGGATATCGTAGGATAGTTATTCTCTATCACACATGTACGCAAGCAACGACTAGTGTGAAAGAAAAGGCTTGATCATGTAAAGAATCGTGAATTGATCTATCTCAAATAACGGTCCTTTGAGCCATCCATCATCTATGTAGACCCATCATCATCATCAAAAACAGATGCCCGTCCATTGTTCATATGAACAGCCAAGCCACATCTTATCTCATGACATCAGATTCTCATCAAAAAAGAAGCCCCGTAATTTTTGGTTGCATGAAAGTTGCCCCCAGCCCAAACGCCAGCCATGCAGACCCACTCGTCCTTCCATCCATACCAACGTCCGCAAATGAAGCTCTTTCCGTAATAGCTAGCATCTTATATCATCCCCACGCTCCGATTTCATTCAACAGATACACATCTTCCGAGTGGCGTTGTTCACTTAGCAACAGCTGCGCTCAAAACTTGCGTTCTGAAGAATCCTCCCTTGGTTCGCTCAATCACTTGCTGGTATACACTGCTTGGTGGGTGGTTCATTACAACGGTTCCCTCCTTGTAGTCGATCTTGGCATCAACTCTAGTATCCCTGATCAAGTTGACGATCCATTTCTCACCCTCATCCTGGTTCAATCCCAATCTTGCACTCAAATCCTTGATATCGATACGTTGGTGGATCTTGCAGTAGCTCTCTGAAATGAGATGACGTGCGGCCTCGACGAAAGAGTCTGATGCGGCTACAAGGAAGAAATCAGAACGGAGAACCTCCTCGGCCTCTGAGAGTTTCTTTTGTGCCTCCTCAAAATCAAAGTCGATGTAGAGGGCCTTGATAAAATCTGTGACTGGATCACTGTATTCATAGTTTTCCTGTCTAACAAATTTGATGATCTCCTTCAACTGCTTCTGGTACTGTCCAGTGTTGCGTGTACGGCTTCGGTTGGTGATAACAGCTGCGGTAAGATATCTCAAGATCCAAGGGCATGCGGTTTGAATGGTGTTGATGAAAGGAGCGGAGAAGAAGAGTTCGCAGATGGTGTCACGGGCTGGCTCATAGTTGAAGAATGGGAAAAGCGCCCAGTGGATGAGCCATGTGCGGTGAGTAAGCTGTGCGAGAGGGTTGTTGAAGAGTTTTGTGTCGATAGATTCCTTGACCTTGGTCACCTCCTCCATGGCACCCTCCCAGTTGGTGGTAAGAATCTCAGATGCCAACTTTCCCCATGTTGCTGCTGAAACCTTGTCGTTATCGGTGGAGAGGACTCGGAATTGGTAGAGCAGTTCGGATGCGGCACCATAGTTTCCGCAACTGTATTGGAAGTTTCCAAAGTCATATAGTACGTTGACCATCTCAATAGTGACCTTATGTCACATTAGCGCCGGGCCCAGCACTTCAATACAGCCAACTCACATCATGTTCCTTCTTCAAGAATTCCAAATTTGCCACTTTGTCACTTCGCAGCCCCGTCACAACATCCTCTCTCCCAAGCAAGTCGGTAATCTTCTCACTGTCATCCTGGAATTTCTCCAAACGATCCAAAACTTCCTGTCTCTTGGTCGCATACTCCTTTGGTGGTTCCTCAACGTTCTCCATTTCGCAGTAAAGCGTCGCAACGTAATCGGTCATGTTTGTCTTTTTGAGGAGCTCGAATTTGGCCTTCGTGATGGCTGGAGATGGCTCTTCATCTTGGTCTGCGACGAATTGCAGGAGGGGAAAGATTAAATGGCGATCGAGATGGGTGACGAGTTTTGGGAGAAGGTCGTACTCTTTGGCGACATCTTCGGGGGATTTGCTTGCGTCCGCCATGATTGCGATTTGCGCAAGTCCAGTTGTATGTCGGAGACTTGAAGAAGCTTGAAGACAGAGACGTCGAGGTCGTCGGCGCGGGGGTTCTCAAATTCTTTGTGTGTGCGGCACTCGGTAGTGGGGCGCGATGGCCAAATTGGGTTAGCGTTGTTTTGTGGAGCGAACTTTTGATGACAGTGACAGCAACAGTAACAGCCTTGCGACGTCAGGCTTGTGAGAGAGAATGAGCTTGAGGAGCAATTTATTGAAAGTCGCAACACCAAACAGGAAATCGTAAGGTTCTCTTCACTCAAGGTAAATTCTTCCCGGAAATCACACATAATTTCCTTTCCACTGTTCAATTGAAATTGGCTTAATTCCTCTTCAATTCAAACAAATTCCCAAACCTCTCCCCCCAAAAACAAAAACCTCGACTAACCATTCTCACCAGAACACCCATACCACCCCACCCAAGACGTCGAAAAATGTCCTTCCCATTCCTCCGTCCAAGTGCCCTCCCCCGTCCCTCAACAATCCTACAATTCCTCCGCCACTCTACCAGTCTTATCTCTCGCAAACCCTACCAAGTTCTTCTCTCCCCCTCAAATCAACTACCCGTATACCAACACACCAAACGCGGAGGAAACAAGCTGGAAACCAAGATCAAGAATATCATGGGAGATATCCAGCAACTAAGGGCGGATTTGCGGAAGCTGTTAGCGGTGGAGGACGAGAAAGAGGTGCAGATTAAGGCCGTGGTTGAGGGGCAGATTATTGTCAAGGTATGTGAAGGTCTTTATTCTTATTTTTGAAAAGGACAAACTTGGAGAGGTGGAAGGAGTTGGGAAAAGGGACTTGGAGAGTGAAAGTATGAGTATGGGTCCGAATTTAGACAAGTCAATAAGGTGGTGGGCGGCAAGATTATCGAGAGAATCTGGAACATTTGACGACTACCTACTAAATACGCCTCAAGCTTTTTCTCTCGAGAAAGAAGTCCTTCTAGCTTGACTAGTGTACAAGTTGACTTGCCTGAGCAAGGATATTAGTTCCAACTCTCCAGAATCCCTCCTCTCAACTCCCGAATCTTCGAAACCCAAGATTCCCTTCTCTCTCCGACTCATTTTCACAATCATCTCTTGAGAACAGCCAGACAATTCAACAGGAACTAACACAGAATACAGGGCCACAAGAGGGTTGAAATCAACCAATTCTTCGAGAAAAACAACATAGGCATCAAACAAAAACCCGACACGATATGATCTCCGACAAGCGGGGAAAACAAAAAAACAGGAGCAGTGTATGATAAAACCACAACCATCATTGAATTGATTTGGTTGCAGATAATGAAACTTCTCATGATTTGAGATTCCAATGTATACAATTACTTTGTACAATAAGAAATGTACATTCACACACCTATCAACAGTCCGAGAATGTCGGGAACTGATCATGAAATGTGTAATGCTATAAGGACTTACATCTCCCACCTCCGCTTAATCAAACACCACACCCTTGAAGTATATCTACCATCCCCTCACAATGAACAAAATCCATCAATCTACTCTACACCTCAACATCAACAAGTGAAATGGCCTCGTCTAGCAACACAAACCTCCCAAAACACATCACCACCTAATCCCCGAAGTAAATCTAGCCACCTATCCACCCTTCCCAAATAACCGAGCTCAAAAATCTAGAGAACTGAATGAATGAACATTATCTAATCGACAACAATTAAAGATTCGTCAGTGAAAATCAATAGACTTTCCACTGTAGTGTACCTCGTGATAGAACTATGCCCCACACAGCCCCGGAATGGGAAGATGGAGGTCATATTTCATGTACTCATCATTTTTCGATACTTATACGTACTATAATCTAGTATATAGAAACACCGGGGTTTTATTGCCTCAAGGTGGTTCAACGACTTCGTTTCGGGAACCTGGAGGGGAACTGTGGTTTAAATGATATACAACATCTATTAGTGATTGAGGGATAATTGAATTTCGAGGGAGATGAATTCATAATTGGTTAGCTTTAGAATTAGATTTAGATGAGAGGCAAGTATGTTATGATAATAGTTAAGTATATCTATCAATTAACCTCGTCCGTCTATTGCATTCCAACTTTCCAAGTAAAATCCAAAACTCCAAAATCCGCCCCCCCCCCAAAAAAAGAAAGAAAAGAGAGAGTACCGATCATAAACCTACCTCCTTTACATTTTACATCCTAACAAACTAACAATCAATCAACCTAGTACCCACAGCCCCTTCTCAAAGAATCATAAGTAGCAAAAAAAAACAAGAAACAAGGGTCATCTACTAGTCTATTACAGGGCATTTAGCAAGGTATTTTTAATATATGAATAGCTTTCTTTTATAGATAATAGGGTAATAAGGTTGTGAAATATCTTGATACTTTTGAGAGGAGGGCTGTAATCTTACCTATAAATAAACACGCAGGGAACTAATACTCAGGGAATCAATACCATACAAGATCATACAATACCATACCATCTATCAATCAATAAATCACCACCCCCTCGCCTCCCCTCGCCTCCCTTCCATCCGTAACTCCACACTCACCATTCACAACTCACCCCAGACATCAAGCCCCAGTCATCCCATCCCCATCCCCAAAATCAAAAAAAGAACAGCTACTCATTCCACCTAATTCCCACCTCCCATCCCATCCCACCTCCCAACCATTAACCCCCCTTCCCCCTCTCTCAAAAAAGGTACCACAACACCACCAACCCAACCCAACCCAACCTATCCAACCCAACCCAACCTATCCAAACCAAGTCAAGTCAAGCCAAGCTGTTATCTCACAAACCCCCATATATTCCCTAAATCAAGAATCCTTACTTACTTCCTAACTACACGCACAGTAAAAAAAAGGTACTCACTCCCCTCTCCTCTCCTCTCCCTATACAACATAATCCCTACAAACAACATCAACCTCCAACCCCCTTTCCCCCCCCCCAAAAAAAACACGCCACAAAAGAACCTCGCCTACGCAAGTAGAAAGGCCAGACCGTAAGAACAGACTAAGGCTATCAGGTAAGATAGTTATAAAAGTTTAGTGAAATCACCATTTATATTCATATCATATTCATATTCACACATACACTTCAAAAAGAAGAAGAGAGAGAGCCAGATGTGTAAGAGTAAAAAGCTTCGGGGAAAAAAACGACATCCATAAAAAAAGTCAAAAAAAACACCCACCACACCAGATAGATAGTACCCAGCACCAGCACCAGCACCAGCAATTCCACCCCCAAAAACACATTCCCAACGCAATCCAAAGGGTACTATAGTAGTAATGATGTGTGTGATAAAAATTTCAAGAAACTGTTACAACAACCCCCCCTCCTTATGTTCCCAACCCAGCATATGCACACAACCCACTTAACACCTCTTTTAATCTCGGTTGCACAATTCCAAGTGCTCTTAATACATTTTCCTTCGCCGGGAACCCCACCACGCCCGTCAATCCTACACTCGAAGTCTTCTCCTCCGGATCTCGACTCTTCTCCGTCAAGCGCCGTAAGACCGCCAGTCCACCTATCGCTATTCTTTGCAGAGACTCATCTTCCACGCCTTTAGGTATTGGTTGTTGGCCTCTCGCCACAGGCTGTGGTGGTTGCGATGCTTCCAAACATAATGATAATATCAAACGAGAAAGATTAGGCGCGAACCCATCATCTGAAGTCAACCATGATTTGGCGAGACCAGACTCATATCCAGGCGCAAGATTGGATAGTATTTCCGCGGCCAGCATTCCCTGCAATAGCAGTGGTTTTCGGTGTTCGGTCATAGGTATTAAATTTCCTCGCTTCCCATCTTGCCTGTCATCTGGTATCGCTGAAATGGCAAGGCCAAAAGTCCGAGTTAGGAGATCGTAGGGTGGCGTAGATGTAGAGTCTGAGGAAAATATTATTTTGTAAAATGTCCGATTTGGTTCATCACGAGCTAATAGTTTCGCCAGACTATCAACTGCCGGTGGAAGATACCGATGCATGGCACGATCATATGGTGAGAATGTGACCTTGTCGGAATCATTCGGAGGCGGACATGGTGCAAAGGCAAGAAGGAAGTGGAGAAGACAAAGCGCTTGTTCCCGTCCGGGAAGTTCGATTGCCTGGGCTAGATTCGAGAGGAAGATGATGACATCTTTCATGAAATCCAAGGTATTTTGATTCGTTCTTAGAAGCATGTTCCGTGTTCCAAGGTATCTAATAACGACACACAAAAACTTGATAACCATTTCGTCAGCGAGAAGTGGGTGATTCATTTCGTAAAAGGATAAATTTCTCATTATCGTGGTTATGCATATTAATTTGTCGACCGCTCGATCGAGTTCGTATTCTTTCGAATGGAAAGGGTGTATGTCTTGAAGCATTTCTTGCTCAACTCGACATCCTCTTACAACATCATCATATGAACTGATGAGCATGACATCCGAAACTTCTGCTGAGTTATCAGCGAGTATGTCAATGTGCCCTTCAGCACAGTCTATTAATGTTTCCACCAAGTCTTCACACGATCTCAAGTCCAATTGTAGTCTGGGCTCTACTGATAGTGAAACTAGAGTGTCCAAGGCCATTCGTACCTCGGCATGAATGCCACATTGTAAACTCATGGTCAGAGCATGGATATCGATCGCACCCAGTTCATCGATCCTTGGAACATCTGGTTTTAGTTGAATTAATTCCATGCCAAGCTTGGTCAGAGACTCCAGCTCAACACCACCAAATGTGTCCACTTGTCGAAATCTGGGCTTCAATTCAGGTTCAAGATTAAATTCTTGTGGCTCTTCTACTGCCCTAACGTCTATTTGCGGTGACTGTAGGGAGAGGCCTCCTGATTTGATAGCGGAAACAGGCGATGGCATCGTAAAAGATGTACCATTCATTGGTGGTGTGGATTCGACTGTTCTTGAAAGGCTATTTCGCGCATGACTTTGAGGTCCCATTGGCCGTGGTTGTCCAGGCTGCGGAGTTGAAAATCCATTCACGGAAGGTGGTTGAGCATGATGCATCTGTTTGACAGGAGTGGTTTGCATATGCTGTTGCTGAAGATGTTGTTGCATTAGCTGTTGCTGTTGCATGAAATGCTGCGACTGCTGCATTGCGGCGGCTTGTGGATTCATTTGCTTCGTAGGTGACATTTGGGGACCAGGCCCAGCGTTAGGATTTTGTTGCATCATACGTTGTCTTTGACTCTGCGCCATGGCTTCGTCAAACATAAGCAGATATCTTTCGTAATGGCTTTTTAGCTGCTGCCCAGCACTTGGAGCCTGCATTACATGGAATTGCAGTGATTGGGCAACTTGTGCCCACGCATTGGTAGCAGTCGTCTTCTTGTAACCCCCAAATTTCCTCACAGCCATAAATAAATTCATCAATGCTATCGGTCTATCTCCAACCAAGGGATTCATGTCTAATGGTTGACCTCTCTGTGACATGAAGGATACCAGATTTTTCGTAAAATTGTCCGGAGTATTCGTCCCAGGTTGTGGCTGTGGGGGCTGCTGAGGTCGCATACCTGGAGGTAGATGCCCATTTTGCGCTTGCATCTGCGCTCTGGCCATTGGATTGACACCGGGTGGCATATTAGCTCTTTGGGCAGCCATCATGCTTTGTTGTTGGAATTGTCGTTGAACCGACATCTGATACAACATTTTCTGCTGTTCTATACTCTGTGTTCGCTGCTGGGCTTGTGGTGGTGGTTGCGGGGGCTGTTGCCCGTACATTTGGGGATTTGGCATGTGAGGTTGTTGCATATGGGGTGTGGGTGTTATATTTTGGGGAGGAGCCGATGATCGGCCAGGAGGTGGTGTGAAGTTGGGATTGAAACCTGGCGCAAAGATAGGATTCTGTTGTCCATACGGATTGCCATTTTGTGGTGTGTCTACTCTATTCCCCCCGTGGTCTGATTGAGAGGAAGACGCCTGTGGGAATTGTTGAGCAGCAGGAGAGAATGGATGTGGAGAGGCCGTCGACACTCTTTGCGGTACGCCGCCAGGACGTAGCTGGTTGCCCATAATGGGCGATGGACTTGCGTTGGCAGAACCATTCTGCAGATGGGAATATGGCGCCCCTTGAGGCGCGTGTTGTTGTGACGCGCTCGATGGGAATGAGTTTGGATAGGGACTCTGCTGCGGTGTTTGTGAGCGAGAATTGGGCAGCATACCAGGCGCTTGACGTGGTGATGCTCCCATGCTCTCTTCTCGTGGCCTGGGTCTTTTGGAGGGGATTACGGGATTGGTTTGATATACAGGTTGATTGAAAGACGGCGAGCCATTGCGCATACCACCACTTTGCATGCGTTGCTGGAACTGTTGATTCTGGAATTGAGCGGCAGGATCGAAGGAGGAAGGGTTGTTCATGAAGGCAGAAGGGTCCAGCATGGCGGAGGACGGGTTCGAGTCGAGAGGGTTGAAGCCCGCGCCATGGTGACTCTGAACGGCGGCATCATTCATCCAACTCATGTCTATAAAGAGCCCATCTGCGATGCCGGAGAGAGGTTAGCGATTGCGTATAACAGTCCAGGCCAGAAGAGGCTCTATAGAGCCCGTCGCAGATGCGACAGAGATGAAAAGTCGCGACTCGGAGCAGGCGCGATGGAATCGAGACGCGGTTCGATGACCACGGGGCGGAGACGACAAAGGGGACCCCCAATGCCCTCACGACCACTTGGGGACAATTCAGTGCTCTACTGGTCGCGCGAAAGCTCCGATCGGATGTCACGAGACGGCTTTGGAGTGCAAGATGGATGGAGGAATGGAGGAGGGTCTTACCTAACTCTGTGCTGGCTGTTGATTTCCTACTTGCGCTGTGAGTTTCGCTTGTTGGGGCGATTTATTGGTTCCGCGCTAAGAATCGGGTGGAGCCTATAAATAAGCGTGCCTTGGCAAGGACCGCCGGGAGGGCAGGAATTATCGATAAGGGACGAAGCCGAGGGGACCGACGCTGTCAAACATTGCTTGTCAGTAAATGCGTTCGGGCCTGACTGGCACCTCCATTTCCGCTGGTGGTGGAGAGTGGAAAGTGAGGAAATGGTGAGTTGTGGTGAGGGAGGTCACGTTTTGGGCGCCGGGCATGTGACTTCGGAAGCGGCCGAGATTTGGTCATGTGGGCGAAGAGCAGCGACCTGGAGGTAGGGAGAGGAGAGGAGAAGGAAGAGAGGGCGGTCGAGAGTGAAGGGGGGTACGATGCGATGTGATGCGATGGGAGAGGGGGTAGAACATGGCATACCTATTATTCACTTTCTCCCGACGACAGCAGTCTACTACTGTCCTGTACTGTGCTCAAAATGGCCGATGTTGATGCCGACGGGTCCCTAATGGCCTAATGGACGGTGAGGGGGAAGTGCGTGGGCGTAGGCGTGGCAGGGTGCGATGCTCGGGCTGGATCAAATTGCCTTCAAACGAGACCACGTTGTCACACTTAGCAATCGGGTGCGGCACAAGGCAAGGCAAGATCCACGGCAGTGAGAGCGACCAGACGAGAGGCCGAATGAGTGACCGGGCAGGCAGGACGAGTACCAGTGCAGCTAGGCAGTGGCCGTGGCAGTGGGTATGGATGGGTATGATAGACAACGTCAGGCAGATAACGTCAACTCTCTCTTATGCTATGCGATCGGGTCGTAGGGAGTGCCGGCGAACGAACGGAAAAGAGTGAGGGGTTCAGGCTCCAGCTCAGGCTCCAGCTGGTCCGGGTGGATGGCTGGTGATGAGCTTGTGTGTGCTGAGCTGAGCTTGGTGAATACTGTAGGTAGTAGTGAGTGGACTCTGGGGATCGTGGTCTAAGCGAGTACAGGTATGAAGTACAGGATATCAGTGCAGGATACTTCTGTGGGCGGGAAGGGGGGACCAAAGGCAATCGGGTAGGGCAGTTGGGCAGTTTGCGGTGCGTCGTAACTCCTGGAACGTGATCCTGCTCCGATTTGAAAAGCAAAAACAAAACCAGCGCTTCGAAGCAAAGCAACCGGGAAGCGATCGAGTGCTGAGACCCAATGGATCTTCATTGCCGGCCCCACCCGCCGCCAACCATGAACCATCCCATCAGCGTCCAGTGCTTCATCCTTGGGTTCCCCCAGGGAAGGGTTTGCCTTTCCGCGTTGCAATCTGTGCTGTGGTCCTCTGTGTTCTCCAGAGCGAGGGCGAGTCGAAGGAGGTCCGTCTGCTGTTTTGGTGTCTGTAGATACTGTAGCGAGGCCGTCGAAACTTCAGGTTATTAGTTGGGCTAGCAAATGCCACTGGCACTCTGGGAAATGGGCCACTCTCCATTCCCCATCTGGAGCCCACCTCGCTGCTTTACTCGCCCTGTGGATGGCATTGTAGTCGGAGGTCTGCCTGGGCAACAAGAGCGACGCAACTTTGCGACACTGAGCAAGCTGGTGCCCAGGAGGAGAATGGGGATGGCCTTCGAGACACCCTCACTTGAGGAGACGGGAGTGGAAAAGGGTGATTGCTGGTCCCAAGGTCATGTCATACGGAAGTTCGTTTGTTTGAAGGCCTCTCGGTTGATACAGCGGCAATGGCAAAAACATGATAGGCCACGAAAATCCCAGCGAGTCCGTCCGCGTTTGATGGGAAGGAAGAAATCATGCTCATGGGAGGAAGGAAGGAGAGCAGTACGGAAAAGAGGAAGTATGGAAGAACAAATGGATTCCGGGGGAGGGGGAGGGGCGTCTTTTAAGAGAATGCCGAGCGAGCGAGAGATGGCTTTAAGGTCACAACCTAACCTGACAGCAGCACGGAGACGGATAAGCATCGCATCTCAGTTGAAGCGCAGGCCAGGCCAATAATACAAGCTTTGTCTTTGCGAGTAGACGTATTAGGAGAGGTAGACGTAGACGTAGACGCTCCCTAAAACACTCGCGGCCAATGCCTTAGTTACCTGTCAATCCCACACTTTCTGGTCCCTCCCCTCCCCTCCCGTCATCCCACGTTTCCCTACCCCAACAGGGCATGTTAGGTACGGTACTCGAATAGCCAGGAAATGGATCTCTTCAACTGGACTCCTCCCAGCTTCAGCCCAACGAAAACAGCCCGCAGCCAGCGGCCATCAGACAAGAGCCAACCCATGGCGAACGACGATCCCCCCGAATGGAAACGGAAACAAAACGATTCATAATATTCCACGGTCAATCAATCATCAATGGTGCTAACCCATCTAGATTCGCGCTAGTCGGGCTAATCTAGCTAGTACCGCGAGTCCCTGGGTCGTGACTAGTCCCATTCCTCCTCTAAATCAAGTAACACAGACCAGCGCATGCCTGGTTGCAGGTTGATAAAGCACATCATTTCACATCCCATCCCATCCCATCCATCCACATCCACATCCATGGAACTTGGGAGATCTCAAAATATCCAACCTTGGACAACCTTATTTGGCAGATATGATAAGTCCAGGACTCAACATCTACGTCTAGATAATAGTTCCATCTTACAGCGTCCCGGAACAGAAGAGATGAGCGAGAGATTCTCATACCTGTGGAAAGACAACAATTCGTCGTACCGACAACATGGTTGAAAGAAAAGAAAGAAACGGAACTCTTTATGTCGTCGACGTTCCCAAACTAGCTCGAGTCCAGCTTCTGCTAAGAACCCAAGTCCGATCCACACACACCTTATCATGGAAACTCCCGTAGAGTACACCATCAATTCCCGTATCGGTACACCTCCCATACCTACCATCCATCACAAGAGCCTTAGAAAACAATTCCATAACAAACAACCATCCAAATCCCGAAAAAAAAGCATGAACCCCTCACCACACAGGGAAGAACCACCACATTTCAAGAATTCCAAAAAGATAGCGGTGGTGGTGGTGGGGGATTCGTCCCACGGTACTTGGACTGGGACTGGGACTCACAGTAATTGACGTGCACACGCGGGAGGCGTTAACAAAGGAACCTTACCAGGATACCTACGCATCATGCAGATGCAGGTTCGTGCATCCAATCCAACCCAACATGGGGTCGAGAGGGGGAGTTTATTGTCCTTCTTCCTTGCATGAGACAAACAGACAGGACTACCGACCGACCATCGCTGGGAAAAATAATCTCCTTTGTGGTATCGAGTATCTCCGCTGTATGAGGGGTCATTTAATTAATTGTGTCTTTCTTTGATTGATTATCACTGATTGCATCAGATTGCAGACTTTCTGGGTAAATACCAGAGGTGGATGGGTGGTGTGAGATGATGGGCTGGTGGCGGACCTACCTGCGGGGAATTGGATGGCATGGGAGGTTTGTGTTCGTTTGATGCAGCATCATCGTATCTCCCGGGCTTTCTCCATGGGAGTTTTGTGTGCGAATTTGGTTGTTGTCTATTTTTACCAGTGAGCTACTGGTGACAGAGACGTTGAGTTGGGCCTTACTACCAAAAAAGTCCTCCCTTTCTTCCTCTACCTCTTCTTCTTCGAATTCTCTTCCTTTTCAACGATTCAGCAAACATACTATCATGGACTTCGCCGTCTTCTCGCTACCAAAGACCCAAAAGAGCCCCGACTCGGAACTCGGGTTCTTAATCGGAGAACCAAGCGCCCGGGCCTTAAGTCCCGACCGCGGATCCGATCTGTTTTCCGATCGCCACGTGAGGATGTTATTTATAAAAGGTTAGCTCGAGTAAATGTAAGTATATAGCTGCTCTAAAATCTCTAAACAGCCTTAGACATAATTCATCTCGAGTTTCTCTCACTTCCAGATCCTCTTTATAAAGACTTTATGTGGTGGCCTCCCAGCCTCACGTGACTCCCCCGCTTCCACCCTGACCCCCCGGCCCACTTACCTCCAGCCTTTATTTAAGAATCTGTAGGAAAATGATCCTTTGGCCACGGCCTCCAAATCAACTTTTCGATGCAGAATCCCGTATCAAAGTACGTAACCACCACCATCGTCGCGCTTGTCGCTATTTGTTTCCCTTCTTATGCGCGCTTGGGATGTACAGTAAGTATTTCACACTGGAAAGTTGTGTGTACTCATGTTACCCTGTCTTATAATAAATAGTGTTTGGTGTATTCATCCGAATAGATTTTGGCTATCTAACTCTTTTCTGTTGATGGTCATTTTTCTGTTGTCGATAAATCCCTTACTGTCATTTATGATTAGGGCTGTCGGAGAAAGTTGGTTGGGGTCACCGGCTAAGAGCAGCTTGCTGGCTTCCTTCAAGTTACCCAAGACGACAAGCAAGATGACCCATGTCCACTTGGGATGCTTCTTCCACGATGAGGAGTTCAAATATTTCCCAATCTGGCGAAGCTGCGTGGGAGGCAATTCCTACGGTCCCCTACGGCGTTTGGTTGTTATTGTCATTACTCGTGCGGTCTGCTTGAGATAGCCCAGTGCGGCAGCGATATATATCTTTTCACGAAGGTCCGATTGAGCCTCCGCATTCAATGAGTCCAGCTGGACCTTCTTCGGTAATCTTGAAGAATACCGGTAATACAAATCTATCAGGATCTGTCATTTATGATTTTTACGTGAGGGTTTGCGATGTTTCTCATGCTTCCTACCTAGCGGTGGGGGAAATTCGAGAGATGAATGGTTGTTAGGTATGGAGAAGTCAAGTGTGTTTGTATATAGGTAGTAGCTGACCTTCTCGCCTTTTGTTGGAGGTGGTTTTGGAAGTTTTCATTGGTGAGGTGTTTACTATGTCTATTGACATGGGGAGGTTATAAATTCCTAATTACTTATTTGGTAAACTGTAAGCTGGGGTTCTGGGGGTGGGATGAGTGATATTTTGGTGATGAGTATAGGTTGTCTTTTCTTCATTGGTAATGGGGTTTTCTATATGATACGGATTTTTGTCGGTTATGAAAGGCGTTGAAGGATTTCAGGAATCGTTGGGTTGCTTGTTAATATGTTTATTCTCCACCGAGCTTGTAGTTTTGAATTGTATGTCCTTTTGAGATGAGGATGATGATGTTTAATTCATTCACCTGCAAGTCTTGGAAGTTTGAAGCATGTTCTATGTAAGTTACCAGTTTTCTCCCGCATTCCCTCGGGACTTAATTGTATCTGGTGTTCGCGGCCCGGATTCTGGAGATCTTGCGAGACTAGATAATGAGAAAGGTTTTTATCTCCGCTGTACTAATCTACAAAACAGCTCACTGCCAGCGCGGAGGGGAATAACTAGGAAGTTGATGGTTTGACAACGTGGGGACAAGCTTGGAAGTCTGAAGACTACATTATCTATCGCCCTGTAGTGGCCGTGGGTCTTTCTTATCCGCGACAGGCAGTTTGTTCTTGCGGAATCCGTCTAAATTCACAGAGCAATAAATATTCTTTAATTACTTTCTGAATAGGCAAAAGGAAGAAAGAGCCAGTGCCGTATCGAAAACAAGAGGCAGACTAGCAGCGAATCATCAACAGTCTTCAAGGACCATAAAGACTTCTTGGTAAATCACTTATCTCCAGAGGAAACTTAAAGATGAGCGCTGGTAAAGGAATAAGAAACTAGCCATTCAGTACCCTGACCTCTTTACCGCTCGAGGAGACATTAATAGCGATTCAGAAAGACCCAACCTTTTGCTTCCACCCAAATATTTATATGCGAGAAAGCAAGAGCCGAATCATCACAGACAAGGAGTTTGAGAAAGCGAAGATTCATCATCAAGGGGGCTTGTTGCTGTCGTTTCATCTCTTACTATCGTTTGAAGGACAAAAATTCTGGCATCTAAATTTGGCCGCTTAATGTGGATTTGATGGCCCTTCCCGAAAAAAAGAGTTTTTAGCCGTAATAATCTGTAATTAATATCATCTCTGGTATTAGCATTGCTTTTCTCAAGGTCGGGGGCTCATCTCGCCTCGAGAGCGGTGGTTTCAATAAGGAATAATCTGTACGGGCTGAGTATTAAATAGGGCCTAGCCCGTTAGTAGTGCCCCGCTGCTCATCGTGACAGATAGGGCTCTCTTCCTTCCTCTTGAGACTGGTATAAGTCCTGCCTTTTATCATCATTTTACTTTGAACCTTGAATTTTGAATTTGTGGGTATATATTGGGGTTCGGGGAAGGGATCATAAAACAAAAGTATTGTGTTACGATAGGAATTTAAAAATAAGTTGTTCTTCTCGAGGGGTGAGAGATTGGCGTAGTGGAATGAGACTTTTGGTACTGCTAGGTCGTTTCTTTGAACCCTTGAGGGAAGCTAAACTAGTGGAAGTGGAGAAGGATATATTAAAGTGGTATGTATTGAAGGATTGATTTTACTGAAAAGTGAAAACACATCTACGATTCTATGGTTGGCTTGAATCTTCATGTTCATAAGCCTCAAAAATTCAAAGTGCTTCATTCGGAATTTCGGACTAAGTATATGGCTTCACCTGTTGGGATACTGTAACAAGTAAATCTCAGCTGCAAAACAATTTCTCATTTCGAGATAACTATCGTACGGCAAATAGGTCATACTGATTACATTCCATTACGGCAAGCCTCCTAAAATCCCCAATGTATGACCAAGACTTCATACAAACACCCAATAAATCACCAGAGCTGTAGAACTGCTCACACACTCATTGATATAGCTCATGTCAAATGATTTATTATCATATCAAACTCATTTCTCGACGATATACGAACAGGCAAACGTAGAAGTCTCAACTAGTAGAGCTCGTTCAATCCAAGCGTACAAATTAGTGTCGGAGCTTTGTGTACTTGTAATATCTTTGATAGCCCCTGAGTTCGCTGTCTTGGGTGATAATCTGGGGGATGAAATTCGTGTGTTTATAATGGAAAATATCTGAATTTTGAATGTTCGAGTGTGTAGTTGCTGTCGTTCAAAGTTTTAGGAGTGGAATCTTTGTTGATGTTGAGTTGATCTGGAGTTTTTAGTTAGAAAAAGATGCTTAAGTAAAAGTAAGCCGGACTTAGTCTGCTAATCTTTATAAAATTGTTTATAGTTATATTCTTATAAATATTTAACCTCAAAGGCCCCCCCCACACCCCCCCACACCTCCCCTTT